GAAGTCTAGGCGAGGAACGTGCTTTTCTTGAAATGGTAGGCCTAGTTGGAAATCAAGGTTCTGGCGGCTCGGTTTAATTTGTGTGATTTTTTCAAGTTCAAGCCAGTATAATACGTTTCATATTTTCCTGAATTCTTCAACCGCTCAATAAGTATATCGGAAGACTTTGGAGATAATCTTCAAAAAGAGAATTTAAGGGAATGGATACAAAGAATTGGAATGGGCCAGACTTGTAGTGGTGATTCTAAAATGTGAATTTAGCAATTGTTTGAACACGACTTTGCTCAAAGTACTCTCCTTCTATATCCATTGTTTTCAACAGGATTTGCACAGACGTGTGCGGGAACTCGTTATCAGCCTGACATTTCTTATAATTATATAATCTTCGGTCTCAAGCGCTTAATCCATTGCGGAATTGAATATCCCTGGTCTTATATCCCTCCATTGACATCCTATAATATGATGTTTCAAAAATACAAATCCTGGACGTTCCGCAAATACTCTTTGAGATAGAAACTGATTTAACAGGGCATAGCTAGAGAAAGGTTGTTTGATTTTTTTTTTTCGGAGTGCTCAATATGATATTGGGAAAGAGATGATATGAAACCATAAGCGAAAAACATTGGTATGTGTATCAATCAAAACAGATTGCAGCACCACAATTTCGCATATGGTCTCCCACTACACTACTCAGTGTGGCCCTATGCAGCTTAACTAACGTTGATCGGACGGGAAACAGTGCTTCCTGCATGGTATGGCCGCAACCGAAAGTTTTGGGTCTGAAATGATAGATTCAGCACAAAAGTCAAAAGACTGGTCGCCTACTATATTTGATTTTTGTGTGGATCAATGCGTTTTCAGCACTTCTTAGTTTTTTTTTTTGAAAGAAATATCATGACAATGAGGCATGTTCTAGCTCCTTCAAATAATTCCCTTGACATTCTAAGAAACCTTAATTTGTTTGTTAAAGTCGTTCGCCAGTTTTTTTTTGCTTAGGGACTAGGAGACAAAGACAGATGTACGTCTTACCGCCTTGTCAAACGAAGTATATTCACGGACTTTGAGAGAAAATTTCCTATGGAAAGGTGACATTTAGTTAATCTGATTCAAGCGGTTGGCATTGGTTATGGGCAGATGTCTTCTTTCGGAGATTTCGTGAATTGGTGCTCGCGCCTTCTCACCTGAGCCCATGTTGCGATCTACTGTAGGTTTTTTCTTTATAATTTTTCGTTAGTGGTAGGGTTTAACGTCTCTTTAGTGACACCCTACGAAATGATGTTTTTTCCGAAAAAATCACAATTTAAATGAAATTTTGATTAGCGGAAGAAATCCTGGTACGTATCTGGGAGCTGTTTGAAAGTTATTCATCTATATATGTTATCGTTCGTGTATTTTTGCCCCTTCAATCAGATGACTCTACGAAAAAAAAAAATTCGAGATATTTATAGAAGGAAAATTATCTTTCAATTCATTTCAAGCAGTTAATAAAAGACATATTGTGCAGGGATACTTTAGAAGAGTTACATCATCTGGAGGATTTACAAATTGTGCCATAGAAACTGGTCACATGATCGTACCTTACGATTCCTGAAAGCTCTATGTTATTCACTGTTGTTAATTTATGAAGTATCCATATTTCTTCAAACCCGATAGCTGCATTCTATGGTTTTTAACAAAAAAAGGCGTCAGAAAAATGTAGTATTCAGAGTCATAAGTTGTTACAGAGGTACCGAAAGTACACCATAATTACGCAGCTGATTTCAAGGATGTTGTAGATTTTGTTTTTGTTGACTCTGAAATTCCGTTTCCAGCTTATTCCATCAGTTTTTCTTTTACACCATAAATGAGAATTTCAGGAAACATGTTATTTGATTTTACCGAAAATTACGTATTCTTTTGCGGAAAAATTTTTCTCACAAAGCTAGCAGCAATTAGAATACCTGATTTCAAAAATACAACGACTCTGGGGTGGATAGAAATATAAATTACTCTTTGACCGGTACAGAGTGAGGTTAAGCTTTCTTTTTTCTTGTCGCAACAAAAGTATGAAATACCTACCCATATTCAATCATCTTCATTTCAAATCAGCTCAGAGAGAGCGGTAAGGTAATCCCACAGTACTCTGTGTGTTGGAGCAAACATAAGGTATTCCAAGATTACATAATTTGCCGATCTGGGAAATGGCACACAGACAGCTCTTCAGAACCTTCTTTATCTCTTGCGACCTGCACACATCAAAAGAGCCGGAACCATCTGCGAAGAGCATCTCATCGAACTTCCAACACGATCTAGGCCTTTCAAAAACTACTTGCAAGCATGGCTAAGAACTCCAAGAAGTCTTCGGGTGCCCCCAGAGACGATAGATTTGCTGCTTCTGCGCATGATCCTCGATTTATCGTGCCCAGCACGAAGAAAAATAAAGTCAAGGTCGACGACAGATTCTCGAAGGAAGAGTTGAGAAAACTCAATGTTACTGCCACAGGCAAAAAAGCTCAGGTAGACAGGTACGGCAGAAGAATTAAGAGTGATGATGATGGCAGCTTTGAGAAATACTTTGAGGAAGAAAAAGTCGAGTCAGAGCCGGAAACTCACGCCAAATCCGGCAGCGAGTCTGAGCTGGAATCTCAAGCTGATTCAGAGGACAGTTCTGATGAAGAGGAGGACAAGCAAGAAAAGCCCTCAAAATCCAAGAAGTCAGTACAGTTCAGGGACGATCCTAAACAGTCTATACAGGAATCTGATGACCTGGAAGAAGAAGCTGGGTTTGTAGATCGTGCCAGAGGCGAGGGCTTGCAGTCAGATTCAGAATCAGAGATCTCAGAGTCCGAGTCCGAGTCCGAGTCCGAGTCCGAGGTAGAAGCCGAGGAAGCCAAGCCCGAGGAGGGGGAGCCCAGCGCCACTTTTGCTGTGGTCAATTTGGACTGGGACAACGTGCGGGCCGTCGACTTGATGTCGACCTTTGCATCCTTTGTGCCCAAAGGTGGGAACATCAAATCTGTCACGATATATCCATCAGAGTATGGAAAGGAGCAAATGCAGCGGGAGGAAACCGAGGGACCTCCAAAAGACCTTTTTAAGCCCAAGTCCAAGAAAAGAGACGAGGACTCGGATTCTGACGAAGAGCTCGACTTGACAAACAAAGAAGACTTAGAAAAAGCTGCAAGAAAATTGTACGAAGAAGACGACGGGCAGCAAGATTACGACTCCAAGGCATTGCGCCGGTACCAGCTACAGAGATTGCGGTACTACTATGCGGTGGTCCAATGTGACTCTGTGGCCACGTCTGAATCCATATATAAAAACTGTGATGGATCCGAATACGAGTCTACCGCCAACATTTTTGACTTGCGTTATGTGCCTGAGGGCATGGAGTTTGCTGACCATGAGGCCAAGGAAACGTGCACAAAAATCCCGTCCTCTTACAGGCCGGACTCAAGTTTTGTCACAGACGCTTTACAGCATTCGAAAGTGAAGCTTACATGGGATGAGACACCGAAGGAGAGAACGTCGCTTTCGACCCGTCTGTTCTCTCAAAAGGAAATTGACGACATGGACTTCAAGGCTTACTTGGCTTCCGACTCAGATGGCAGCGACAACGACGCGCCCGACTTGAAGAGCAAATATAAGAACTTGCTCGGAGGCAGATTTTCTGAAAAGGAGGGTGATGATGACAGCGACGGGGAGGTGGACATGGAAATCACGTTCAACCCAGGACTTGGTGAAGGCGCAGAGAAGGCCAAGAAAGAGGTCGCCCAGCCTTCTGAGGAGACTACCATTCAGGCGTACAAGAGAAAAGAGAAGGAGCGCCGCCAAAAGAGAGCCGAGAAGTTTAAGAGCAAGGTCGAGGAGGAGGATGAAGAAAAGACTGTTGTTCCTGGGAAGAAAAACAAGAAGACCAAGGGCAGAGACAAGAAAGACGCCGAGGACGAGAAGAGTAAGGCGGAGTTGGAGTTGCTCATGTTGAATGAGGAGGACCAGAACCAGGCCGAGCATTTTAGTATGAGGGACATCATCAAGGCTGAGAAGAGCAAGAAGCACAAGAAGAAGGGCAAGAAGAACTTCGACGACAACCTCGTGCAGGATAATTTCCAGGCTGACTTGAACGACGACAGATTTAAAGAGGTGTTTGAAAACCACGAGTTTGCCATTGATCCCACCAGCAGTGAGTTCAAAAAGACTAACACCATGAAGCAGATTTTGAATGAGAGAGGAAAGAGACTGCGTAGAGAAGACAGAGAGGGTTCCAAGAAGAGAAAGACAGAAACAAAAGATGACGGGAGCTCATTGGACAATTTGGTGAAAAAGTTGAAGCATAAAAAGTAGATATCAGGGCATTGAAATTGACAGCGATTTTATTTAATACATAAGTCTGGGCTGTAGACTAATTTCCAGAATTGAGATTGACACGGCTCATGCTGTTGCCTCGTCTGAGTAATAAGCTTGTATAAGGAGCACAAAGAAGGGGGGCGTAATGTGCTGAATAATCTTGCACGGATAAAATTTCCGCAGTACAATCGGCCCCCTTCTTCTTGACTAGTTACGGACTTCCCTGTGAACTATGTTCTTGGTGAAAGAGTGAATTCATTTGAGAACTGTCTCTCGACACGCAGCAAGTGGCGCTCGACTACGAAGTTTGAGTTGCCAGAAGTTTTCCAAAAGCTGAATTTTTTTTTTCCAAGAAATAAGTAAAAGAAATTAAAAGAAAAAAAAGGAAAGAAAACAACCAAAACGAAAGCAATCGGGAGACCAAATATGGTGTTGTGTCGGAGCCACGAAAAGATTAGCTCTGAAAAACCCTGACATACAGTATAGAGAGCCATATTTCACACTTTCACTGAGTAATTTAATTCCACAAAAAAATTACCGAAGAAGCGGAAACACCCATCTCAGAAGTTCATTCATCACCCAAGCCCCCTCCCATTTTTCACCAACAATTATAGTAGTTTATTTTCTTTCTGGCTCTCTAAAATTAATGCGCGCGGCGAGTGCCTACACATAGACGCGTTTTGGTTCTCACCTGCGATCCACGGTGGTGGAAGCACATACCGCACCTGACTAGAACATACGCACGTCAACAGCACGCCAAAATGAGGATCTCTGTGCTAGCTGTATTTGTTTGGGTATCTCACGTGACTGCCTTGCACTTCTACCTTCTGACGGGCCAGACCTGCTGTTTTTACGAGGACTTGACCTCGGACTCGTTGGTGGTGGGTAAGATCGACGCCTACGAGTATGACGAACGTATGGACGATTACTCAAAAAACCCCAACTTGAAGTTGAAGATCACCGTGGACGAAATCTTTGATAATGACCATCGTGTCGTGGACCAGACCTCGCAACCAAGTGGCGACTTTGTTTTCAACTCCCACGACAGTGGAGAGCACAAGTTCTGTTTGACACCTGTTTACATGGACGGCACGCACGGGAGAAAACACCGCATTTTCTTTGACGTGGCTATTGGCGCAGCACTGGAATACGTGGACCTGAAATCGACCAAGAAAGTTGATGGTTTGACTTTGCAGATCCAGGACTTGAACCGGAAGTTGCAGGACATCCACATGGAGCAGGAGAGCATCCGCGAAAGAGAGTCAGTTTTCAGAAACCAGAGTGAATCCACCAATGCACGTGTGGTGTGGTGGAGTATCATCCAGGTGGCTGTGTTGGTGGGAACTTGTACCTACCAGTTGCGCCACTTGAAGGGCTTCTTTGTCAAGCAAAAGATTGTGTAGACTGGATATGTACAAAATGAGGATGAAATGTCTGTGGAGGTATATACGATTTGAATCTGTGGCGTTAGGTTTTTCTTCAATGATGCAGCATTTACATGTTTGCCCAGAGACATGTGATTTATCCGTGAGAAGTTTAGTCTGGCTCAGCACACTCCAAACTGATGTTTGTTTGCTTATTTGTCAAACTTCATCAGCTGTGTATTTTTTGTCATGTCTTTAGGGGCTATCTGACAGTGATCACCAATACTTCTATACGATTATTGGAGATGAATCAAGTGAATTAGAAATGAAGTAAACCCGTAAATTGCTTGGAAAACATTGCTTCTGAACTATGGCCCGGTGAATACGCCTGCTAACTTTTTTTAAAATAAGTGCCAGCTGTCGAAGAGGCTCGTTTCTCTATTTAGTACTCGAAAGTTGCAGCCATGTAGAGATACAGCCACCAAGCTGCCACGAAGAATTGATAATAGTTTCTTTGAAGTGGTTTTTAAAAAAGTCGATTCTGAACGATCAGTTTGTCTCGACACTGTAATATCAATTGCGTTATAGTCGTATTCGCTAAAATGAACACGCTATACGCTCTAAACCTTAATGGCTGGATGTCTTGGAAGGGTCGTCCACCGTCATAGCTCACTGGCGTTCTTTGCCTACATCGCAAAGGTTTAGTCATCAGACAAGATGAACTTACAGAAAACCTTGAGACCTGCCGAGATCTCCTTGCCAACAGGCACAATGTACTTGGCTGGAAGCAAGAAACCCTGTGAGCCGTTGTCCCGCAACTTGATTTGGTAAGCCCAGTATGATTTTTGGTGGTACATGTAATCAAGAGCAGTTCCCGCACCCATGTCCGGGATCAAGTCAGAGTCACGGTCTATGCACGCCGGGAGCACAGAGTAGTATTTGCCGGATGTGAGGCGGATGGCCTTGGAGATGCCGTAGGCCAACTCGATTAGATTTTCTTCGTCACGTGGGCGGTGTTCACACGAGTACGCATATGGAATCAAGATCTCCTGCGAGTACGAATGTAAGTCAATATATCCCCATATTTTGTGACCCTCGTTGGTCCTGTTTAAATAGGTGTCCCACACTTTCAGCTCGTATGCCTCAAAGGGATGAGAACCCGCGTAATCTTCACCGCAGATGGAGTCGCTGGACGGCGTCCAGTGAAAATCGTAAGAGTGGTCGATATCGATTCCACGGCACTGGCTGTCCTCACTGCCGGCGGCCGGCTGCCTGTTTTTACGCCACAACCGGTCAGTAGACCACGAGTATTCGTAACCATCTGGGTTCAGAACAGGAATGAAGAGGAAGTCCAACTTCGCTAGCTCCCGCCAGTTGTCCGGGTTCGACTCAAAGTGATTGAGAATCTCATAGATGCCATAAAGCACCGATGACACCGAAATCCACTCGCGTGCATGCACACCTCCCGTGACCACAATAGTTCGCTTTTCATCATGTGACGTATTGTCGCTTGGAATCAGAAGATGCACGACCTGCAACGGGCGACCCTCATAGGTTTGGCCGATTGTCTCCAAAGTGATAATGTCCGGATAGGTTTGCTGGAGCAAAGCAAGCCATGCGTTGATGGAGCTGAGTGGTCTGAACTGCTTAAAGAAAACCTCGCTCAGCACATGGAGTTTTTCAAGAGCCAGCATTCCAGGAGTGAGCTGGGCGGCAAAAATGGGCTCTGTATTTCCAACCGTCATTTCGTCGGGGAATGTCTCGAATATAGCTTGCGGCAAGTCCCTTATAAGCACCTGTGGAGAGGCCACGCTAATCTCGGCGAAAAATGCTGCTGCATCATTAGAGTGGAGCTGTACATCAACCGTGCCTGCCTTGGAATTCTGTGCCCAAATCTTGTGACCCCGGCTCTTGATATGGTGTAGAATATTGGCGCTTTGGTTCACCCTTACAACGACATTATCCATGTACTGAGAAAGATCAATAGGGAGTTCGCTAGAATCCAAGGACGAATAGTGCGGACGCAGCGGAAGCTCATTTGAAGTGTCTAAAAAAAACGGGATCTGCTGACTGGCCACGACAGCGAACACATACGCTAGCAGGGCGACTTTCATTATTGCTTAGTGGTTTGGTGGACTGGGTGTGTGGGGACTTGAATGAGCCGGGGTGGTTATTACACCCGTACACCACACTATAGACAGTAGCGTTGCTGGTGATCCTGGAAAGTTTAATTTATGCGGTTCATCTCAGGCTTCAAGTGTAGTAAAGTTGATTGCGGGAGGCGATATTTCTGTCATTTGTTTGCTGGTGCATTAATTTGTTGGAGATTGCGACAAGCTGCACCATTTTAGAATAGACATAATGAGCTTCCAGCCGCACGAACGATAAGATACGGCTGCCAAATATTTGGGTCAGATCTCATTTGCTGTATACTGGCTGATTTTATTTTGGAATCAGCGAGAAAGCATATATAATTCGACTGACTGAATCAAGCAACCTTGGTTGACACAGAGAAGGCGGAAAATGAGGACGATCTGCGTACGTGCTAGGAAGATGAACGTACGGTTTTTAGTATCTTTCTCATTTTAAAAAATTACTCTTCAGCTTGCAAAAATTACCCTTCAGCTTGCAAAAATTACCCTTCAGCTTGCAAAAATTACCCTTAAGCTTGCGAAAAAAAAAGGATAATTGAGTGAATCTTTGATGTACCAGCAAGTGGGAATGCCTCTCACTAGGACAGGCCTTCCTTATTTTGACATCCTGCCGTCGACGCCACGTTTGTAAGTCTTGTGAGGAACACTCAATCTTAAAGCCCCTAACCTTGCATCGTCAAAGGAAACAGCTTCAATGGGGACTTCAGAAAATGTATATGAGTCATTTTGAGGTGGTCTTTCGATGGAACCTGTTTCAGGAAAAGACAGGCCGATTAGGTCTGGCTGCATCCAGTGGGATTGCGCTACACTTCTTGAGAAATGAGGCGGGGGCTTATTCTCTGAAATTACTTATTGAAGTTTATGAGGATTCACGATTGCGGGACACGGAGATCTTATACATGCACGTATATAAAGTTTGCGACAGAATCGCGTGTTTCACCGTGTGTCTACTTCTCTTTCTTCAGCTTTTCATCCTCGGTTATGTCAGCACATATAAGTAAATCGTGCATGAGTCTCAAGGTCATGAACAGCGCAAATGCCAAAAGTGCCACGACGCCAAAAATGAGCACTCGTGTCAGTTCATCGGGCACGTTCAAGAACATGTACGGGTACTCGCCGCCGTTCTCGAAGTCAATGATTATTTTGAGCCACCACCAGTACAAGCCCGCCAAAACTACACACGCACCGAGGGAAAAACGGGGCAGCACCGTCCATTTGGGCATGAAGAAGAAGTAGTCAATTGCGAGCCCAAGCACGGGGACAAGGTGCAAGCACAAGTCTACAGAAAGCGGGATGAACTTGGCGTTGGGGTCCTTCACGAGAATATGAATGAACATGATTCGCAAGGGCCAGTAGATGCCTGTCACGATGCACTCTACGGCTAGGGCAATCGGATGGAGGTTATTCTTCAACCGGAACAAGGAGTCCAACTTGAAAAAGTGTGCCACCCCGCCCAACGCAAACACAATCTGCGATAGGAGCAACGAGATGTTGGTGAGAAATTGCCAGTGGCCTGCGCCCGCAAGATGGGGCGGAAGTTCCACGTATGTCGAGATGTAGTGCACGGCGTATATGCCGGAGGCGACGGCAGCCAAGTTCAAGCCGATGGCTCTGAAATCCCCGGCGGTCCGAGCCATGATACTTGCGATGTTTTAGGCGTCTTATCAGGAGGTGATGGGAGCTTGCGATCATGTATCCCGGATGGCAAGAGGGGCGCGTGCACATAGGCCCGGGTCTTGTCGCGTGCGGCAACTGCCGATGCAAGACGCAGCAGCCTGTCCTGATCCGGGAAAGCCGGAACGTCAAAGTGACGTGGCTTAGGTGAGATATCCCGGAGAGCAGCAGGCCATTGATATACGAGAGCGGGGTATTTGAGAACCAGATGCAAAATGGGAAGCGGGGGGATGGGGGAGGGGGGCGTGAGAGCAGCAGCGAGATTTCCGAAGCAGAATGCCAGAAGCGGGGGGCCAGAATAGACGTTGGAAGCGAGCTGTCCTGCAAATGAAGATGCGAAATGAGCTGTCCTGGATGCGAAAACAGCTGTCCAGGACGCGAAAACAGCTGCGACACCCCGATGCGAAATTAGCTGCGGAAGCGAGATGCGGCACTGAGACCCGGGTACATTCAGATATGCCATCACATTCAGATACATGTAAATATGGATATACGTGTGTTGGGTGCTGGCCTGAACCGAACCCTGGACCGAGCCGCTAGGTCCGGGTGGTAATGGTAATTGGGGCCGTCACGTGACCGAGACGAGTCGGCACGGCGATGTCTGGACGCGAGGGAAGCCATTGAATGGCCCCCATGACAGCCTTCCAAGCGGGGCTCCCACATTGCGGCCACAGCAAACTGGTCTGCACTTCAATGTGTCCAAATTGACCATGCCCGTAGCACAAGCAGGGGTGCCCTTCCTGATCTCTGGGAGGCCTGCGCGGCCCTCCTGTCTCGTCCGCTCTAGACATTTGCACATTGGCAAAGACTGAGTCTCCGTGCAAAGATAAGCTGCCAACTTCCAACCCCCAATACCCTCAGATTGATGTTTCGAAGCACGATGCTCTGTATTTCATCTGGGGAGGCAGGGTTGAAGACACGCGTGGATCACATGGCATTGGCTGCGAAACACCAGACTAATCAGTGCACAGCTCACCCACTGAACAAACGAGAGAGCCTGCTCCGGGACCTGGAGCGCGACTCGGAGCGGGATCCCGGGCGGGACCCGGCGCTCAGCACGGCACTCAAATCCACACCCCCCGCAGCCTCGTAAGGAACCGCGGTGCGGGACCGGGACCGGGACCGCGATGAGTCCCGGCTTCCGGGGCCTTGAAACAGAAACATGTCGCCCAGCGAGCGGCCCCGCATCTCGTGGGCCCTTTCCTGGAGCCGCTCGGAGAGTTTGTCGTGGATGCGCTCGTGGCTAGGGTCGTGGCGCATGTAGTCCGTGAGCGACGTCTGCGACAGGTTTCTGGACAGCAGCCGGCTGCGCATGCCGAACGTGTGTTTCTTCTTCTTCTCGCGGGTATGCGCCACGTCGATGTTGGCGAGCCAGTCGCGGAAGTAGTTTTCCGAGTCCACGGGCTTGTCGAGCGTCTCGTGGATTGTGTAGAACGGCTTGACAAGGATCACAGGCACCAACGCGTACTGGAGAAAGTACTTGGATGTGGAGGATTTCGAAAAGAGCGACCGGTGGAGCGGCGTGGGGTGGCCCGTGTGGGGCGTGTTCGGGCGCAGCGGCTGTGGGTGGGAGCCGGCGGGTGACAAGCTGCGAGAGCCGGGCTCCAGCGGCGTCACGCCGTACTGGTGCGTGCCCACGATCATCATGGCCGGCTTGTACTCCAAGATGGCCTTTTTGAGCAACTTCTGCGGGTGGCCGATCACAACCTCGAACACGAGCGAGATGCGCTTGCTGTGCGTGTTCAACTTCTTCAACTTTTCCAACACGATCTCCGCAAGCGACGGGTCCACGAACGTGTGGCACTTCTCGTCCAAGACCTGGAACACAATGATGGTGTCGCCGCTGATGACCATCTCCAAGAACGCCCACTCGACTGCCTTCATCAGCTCCGAGTCGTTGCTGAAGCCAATGAGAAACGTCTTGTTGTTTCGCCGGAACTTGAACTCCGGGTGCTTCACCTTGAGTGTGATTGCCAGGTGCCGCGTGTCGCTGAGCGTGTCGAACGACACCTGGCGCTCGAACAGCGGCCGTTTGGCGGCCGCGCTTGGCACCTTCAAATACCCCTGTTCCGGCCCTGGCGTGCCGCCGATCGCCGGAGACGCACGGCTACGTGCCAATGCCTGGAGCGACGTGAAGGACGTCACGCGTTCGACCACCTGGAGGTTCTCCGGATCGTAGTCGTCATAGTAGAGCCGCCCCAAGAGATCCAGCGAGTGGATTTCATTGCGGTACATGTCGATCGAGTCCTCGGACGTATGGTAGAGCATGGCGTTGAGCTTGGTGTTGAGCAAGGTTTCGGTTTCGGACTCGCTCTCAGGCTCCACACTTTCGTCGGTCCTGGCCACGGGCGCCTTTTCCTTGGCGTATTGCTTCCTTTCGCCGTCGGCTTCCACGTCCGGCTCCTCGGGCCCGCTGGGTTCTGGCGGGTCCCCCAGCGTCTCGCCAGGTTTGGCCACTGCCGCTATACTCTGCCCTGTCAGTTTGCTGGTATTTTCGTCGGGACTTCTGTCGGAATTCTTGCCGTTGTTTTCATCGATGCCGGGGTTTACCGGGTTCTTGGGCCCCATACATCCGTCCGCCTTGACAGCACTAGGCGCTGGCACAGAACTCGGGCGTTTATCCTTATGAGAGAACAAACCCATCGTGTGTCCTTAGTGCGAGGGACTAGTCCCAGTTTTGTTTGAAAAAAAGCTCGTATGGTTACGGCTTCGTCTCTAAGGAATCCCAAAGCGACGTTTTGTTCAGCTTGGCGTTTTTTCGAAGGAACGAGTGGGTTCTGCCGTATTTCAGTGGGGAAAGCCCAATGCTCCGGTACGGCTGAGTCACGTGCAGACCCGTTTTGGTCGAACCGGGTCAGTAGGTTCGATGCGTTAATAAACGCGGTCTGCAGGAAGCGGCGTGCCAGCTGAAGGGAAGTGCTTATCGATTGCAGAATACGCCGGTGGAATCAAAAAAGGGAGAACGGCCTGATTATTCCATGTATCTATCCTATACTGCTTTAAATTTACATTCAACTTTGCACTTATCTTGTACGGGACGAACACGTGAGGTTGTGCTGGATGGGATTGCGCGGCGTTTGACAGAATTATTCGCGTGTTCCACGCAGGGCCAGTCTAAACGTCAACTTGGCTGTGGTTCCTGTTTCTGGCGTCCCCCGTTTAGGTCGAGGTGTATTTGATGATTGTGAATGTTTTATTGCTGGCAAAAATTTTTTATAAGAGGCTCTTGTGGTGAAATATCGTCTCTTTTACAAAAAGCGCATTGGATTAGAAGGCTCTTTAAACTTTGCGGATATAACGCCATAGAACTCCAGCTGATGGTTTGGTTCGGCAATCGGCAATGTCCATAAGCCACATTGATCTCCTTTCAAAGGATATTGCAGTCAAGAAATACAAGTGGTTCGGGAAAATGAATACCCAACCTGTATTTATCCTTTTTCATAGAAATCTGAGAGGATATGCATGTTGCGAGATGAACACCAGATCAATATCTGATCAGTGGGTTGAAAGGAGCTGAGGCTCAATTATGCACATGTTTAGTTTCTGTAGAACAGAAAACATGATTTTTTGCTTGGCATGAGGGAACAGTCTCTATTCACGCCGTACGTTCATCAGCATGCGCTCTAATACATAGGGAGTTCACCAAGACGAGCAACTTTATGGATGCTTGAAGAGTCTTGATGGTGATTAAATTGTCTTGAAGTTTTGAAAAAGTGAGAATTTGGAAAATCAAACCCAATAAGATCACGTATTTTACAGCCGACGTTTGATAATATGAACTAACATAATATTCTGTCAAGAAATACTTGCAAATGAACCTAACAAATGATGCACTGATGATATTCCAGGTGCCTTAGATTCTTTATTTATGATTGAAAACATTTCAATTGTGTAGACCGCCACCTCTGATGTCTCAAACAGAACTATGCTAAAAGCGAATGTTTTGTTTAGTACGATATAAATAAGAACTAAATACAAGCAAACGCAACCATCCATTTTGGTTTCCTAGCACAAACCCTATAACCACATGCTTGATCAATCCCTGAATCAACAATACCCAAAGGATATGACTAGGGAAGAAACGCCTTGTTCCTGACTTGAATAGGCCATATATCTCAGAAAAAAAATCCAAGGCTACAAGAATGGAAATCCATGTCCCGGCGTCTTTCGGCAATGGTTTATTTTGAGAGTCAAGCAAATCAAGAACGCTAAACTTTGATGGAATTATCACACTAGAGAACAAGAACATAGCACCCATAACAATATGGGGGTTAGTCAGTGAATATGCCAATTTTCCCAAAAAACATACAAATTGGACTTTGGGCTTGGCAAGCTTTTGGTAATGCAGAGACAAAGTGAATTTAAGTTTGGCAAGAGCTTCCCTCATTCTCTTGATATCAACCTTGTCGTCTTGATTTTTGCCTCCGGCTCTGTTTTCCATGGTGTTGTTCATTGTGGGATTCAATCAGCTTTTGGTTGTTTTAATATTCCAAAAATTAGAGTCAGATTTAATATCTGAAAAAAAAAACCCCCGCTACGCAAAAAAGGCTCAACAGAACAAATAAATGGAACGTACCACATTTTGAAAGTGCGACCTTGGTATGTGTTGTAATTGTTTATCAGGCAGCCACGCGACATTTTCTACTCCGTAAAAAGAATCTGCTATCGTGTGAATTTCTGTATCAAAGTTTTGTTTCTGACTCTTCAAGCCTTGTCTGGCTTTGCATGTCTTCAATCTTTTGCACAAATCATTCATGTGTTCAGGCAGCTTCGATATAATTATACTAACGAGGTGAATTTATGAATGTTGATAAAACTTACGTTCCATTTTACTTATTGATTTGAACTGTTTTGGATTTGAGGGTACCGGAGTTCTAACAATGACTATCTTACAATGCTTCGCAATCGTTTTTCCTGCGATGCGTTGACAGAACTACCAACAAATACAGGGAAAGGTATCATCCTACTCCAAGAGTGTAGTTTTTTTTGGCCAGAATCAAATTCCTTTACTTGTTACTTTAATTCAAAGAAACATTCAGCTATTCAGGTAAAATAAAAATGACGTACATGTTGTAATTACAAGTTGACCCCAGATCTCAACATTATAAAAAAAGTTTCTGGATCGTAAAACAGTTTTCTCAGCGTCCCATTCCTTGTGTACGGAAGGAAGAATGAAACTCATCTCAACCATCCTAAACTCCCCTTGCCGACTTCCGCAGTCATGAGTGGACCTCTGAAGAGGTAAGGAAATACTCACCAGTCTGTTGCATATGCATGTCCACATAAAAGGAAAGACTTCAGATACAAAGCCCAGACCAAGGCACATATGCCTTATATTAAGATACCCTGAAAACTTTCTATGTACAAATCTCTATGCATTGATGTCCAATAAGAAGCAATAACCAGCTTTTCAATTATCACGCTTTTGCTCCATATACCGGCCGTTATCCACACCCAGATTGTGCTCTACAATACCCCAGAGCCTGTCCATCTTCATGCCACCCAAATTGTCCATGATATAGTAGAACTTTTTGCGCCCATCCACAGTCTCCTGCCATGTTCTGTAAGGCTTGAGGGCATCTTCTTCGCCTGTACAAAGTTTTAAGGACTCATTACCCAGAACTGTTACCAAGGTATTGTACGTCTTTCCTCCAGTTGCATTCAACTTTTCAACAATCAACTGCTCGTCATTGACAAGATTTTCGAGGGTGTGAGGCTTCTCTTTGTCATACAATCTGAATATTCTCGTCACATAGTCCTTCGTCTTATATTGGACTGCAGCCACGGGAGTCCACGTTCCAAGAATGACACCCAAGGCGAAGATGTCGTCAAACTGGACCAGCTCGTAAAGAAGCTTCAGGCCGTATACACCAAGAACGGCAAACGAAAGAGTCAAACGTTTCAAAATCGCGACATATTTTGCTCCAGGCGATTCGTAGAGCGGCTCGTAGGAAAGACGGAATTTCGAGGGAAGCGCCACATTTTTCCAGCCCTGTCTCACATACACTTTGTCTTGGTATAGCGTTGGTGACCATGGATTATTGTCGGAGACAACCTCATCGGTCTCCACGGTGGTATCGTTGTTTTTGAACGAACCTTTGTGTCTGAATGAGACACGTGACAGGGTTCTGAGCGATCTCAGGAACCGAAGCAGGATCATTTGGTAGAGATTTCAGGGATCAGCTGTATCTTGCAGACTTCAATGGGGTCTGGTTCTTTGAAGGTGGGAGGTAAGGGCCCGAGACCCGAGATTTGGCTTGATGCGCGCTGGTCCGCTACTCGTAAAAGTATGAATGGTGATTTCCCGGCTGACAAGACAGTCACAGGCACGACTCGATATCCTTTAGCCGGGCCGCGAAATATCTACTTGCGATCAAGAGAAGAGTTGCACAAATTAGGGGAAGTAGACGGAGCACTTTAAGTATGCTTCATGTCTAGACGATATTCTGTACAATTGTTGTATGCAATCTGAGTGAGTTGGTGCCTGTGAGTCCGATTGTCAGTAACCATAAAATCACGTTTTATGGCTATAGATTTTGGGAAATTTCTTTGGAAATTTGAAGGAAAAGAACGAATTTGTCCCTCAATTTCCACGCTAGTGGAGAACACCTGACCCTGAAAGCTGAGAACATAATTGCACCATAGATTGGCTTTGACGAAAAATGTGGAGAATATATACGAAGGCGAACATGGTCCATGTAGATTAGCTTTTGGTGTAAATGTTTCATTTAAAAGGGAATTAAATGTCAAAATGGTATTGTAGATGATCGTGTTTTGATAAACCTCTTTAGTCCTTGAAGAGGCTCTTTTTGATAATCCCCACTCAAATTCGAGAGACGGAAAGAGATCAATTTGATGATCCCGCTTCATTCTTCAGGTGTTTTTTGCAAGGCAGCCTCGAATACAGTTTGGTAAATTCTTCGAAGCGCTCAGAGCAAAGGATTGACATAAACCTAAGTCATGGATGCTTGAAAGCTCACACCAGAAATTTAAAGCAAGTTCATTTAATCTACGGCAGATGCATGCCAACAATGGCCAGTTTTCTGGACTCGTCTGAGTTCTAGAACATCACTTGGCATATCTTAGTAAGTCATTGACCAACCACCACAGGGAATTCATCAACTCAGAATCTGCAATCAAAATATGTCTGAGTTTGCAAGTGCGCAGAAATCACTAAAACATACCTTTTCTTTGTGAAAGGCGGAGTAAAGATATATTTGGTTTGAGGATAGATCCATGCGGACTGTTGGCATAAGAGCCCTGACTCTATACATGACGGGGGATAAATAATGATAGTCCAGGAATTGAGAAGCCAAAGGCGTACATGAGGCACAATGGCAGACCAAATGAGCTTGCTAATATGAATATGGTAATTTGAGTATGAACAGACTCAGGTGGGGGCTATTTAAAGTGAAAATGTAATTGAGCAGATGGGTGTCAATATGCGGGGTCTCATTAAACGAAGTATCCCGCAATGCGTTCTGGGGATCCACCGGAAAACCAGCGCAGCCTCACAAAAATGATTATCGCAAAATTAACGAAAAGGCCGTGGATACACAAAGCAGGCTGGCTACTAGTCCGTACTTTTTTCAACGCTGTTTCTCGCCTGGGCCTTATCAGCTGAGCGATAGCCAGCTGGGCCTGGAAGCGCGGTCACGTGACCAGAAGATCGCCCCGGGCGGGGCGCTGCAAGGCCCGCCACCGGCCAAGGTTCCAAAAACAAAATCCAGAAAGCTATGAGCCATCACTCGCAGATCCCCCACTGCCATTCAAAATCCCCAAAACTGCCCAAACCGCCTGAATCTCGGGCGCTGTCTAAAAGAGCTGAGGTCAGCGTCCTGCACATAGATGCCCCGGCATCACCGCGCACAGTCGTTTTTTTCTCCTCGCAACAGCTGGCCCACGCCAAACGCAAACAGCAAACTGGGAATACTAGTCAGCACCACCGCATAACCAGTTCAACACATTAACCAATGGAGGACTCCAGCAACAAGTTCATTCCCGAGTACCGCCGCACGAATTTCAAGAACAAGGGCCGGTTCCAGTCGGACGAGTTGAGGCGCCGGCGCGAGACCCACCAGGTGGATTTGCGTAAGCAGAAACGAGAGGAGGTTTTGGCCAAACGCCGGAACTACACCGACAACGGCCTGTTGGCCAACGACTCCGAAGAAGAAGATGACATTGACGATTTCGGGCTCTCGCTGTCGCACGAGGAGCTGATGTTCTACGGCAAGTTGCAGCAGGACTTGCCCAAAATGATGGAGATGATCCAGCTGGCCGACTTTGACAACCGCTTGAATGCCACGGTCAAGTTCAGACAGGTCTTGAGCAAAGAGCACAACCCGCCCATCAACTTGGTGATCGAGCTGGGCGTGATCCCCACGCTCGTGGAGTTCATGAAGGAGGGCAATCCCGACATGTTGCAGCTAGAGGCCGCGTGGGCCTTGACCAACATTGCGTCCGGCACGTCCAGCCAGACGCGCGTGGTGGTCAACTCCGGCGCCGTACCGCACTTTGTGGACTTGTTGTACTCGCAGTCCTTGGAGGTCAAGGAGCAGGCGATCTGGGCGTTGGGAAACGTGGCCGGCGATTGCACTGACTACCGTGACTACGTGTTGGAGAAGGGCGCGATGGAGCCCGTGTTGTCTTTGTTCAACACCACCAAGCTCTCGTTGATCCGCACTGCCACCTGGACCTTGTCCAACTTGTGCAGGGGCAAGAATCCGCAGCCCGATTGGAACCTTGTGCAACAGGCCATCCCCACTTTGGCCAAGTTGATCTACTCCGTGGACGCCGAGACCTTGGTGGACGCCGCGTGGGCCGTGTCCTACCTCAGCGACGGGCCCTCCGAGGCTATCCAGGCCGTCATCGACGCGCGCATCCCCCACCGCTTGGTGGAGTTGTTGGACCACGAGTCTACCTTGGTGCAGACGCCCACGTTGCGTGCCATCGGCAACATCGTCACGGGCACGGACGCGCAGACGCAGGTTATGATCAACGCCGGAGTCTTGCTGCACTTGGCGCCCTTGTTGAACTCTCCCAAGGAAACGCTCCGCAAGGAGGCCTGCTGGACCATCTCCAACATCACTGCGGGTAACGCCGAGCAGATCCAAGCGGTTATCGATGCCAACTTGATCCCTCCCATCATCCGCTTGTTGGCCGTCGGCGACTACCAGACGAAGAAGGAGGCTTGCTGGGCCATTTCCAACGCCAGCTCGGGTGGCTTGGCCAACCCCAACCAGATCCGCTACTTGGTATCGCAGGGCTGCATAAAGCCTTTGTGCGACTTGTTGGGTGTTGCCGACCTGAAGATCGTCGAGGTCACCTTGGACTCCTTGGTCAACATCTTGAAGATTGGTGATTTGGATAAGGATCAAAGACAGTCCACCACCAACGAATACGCTGTGTTCATCGAGGAAGCAGGCGGTATGGAGAAGATATTCAATTGCCAAGCAGACGCCAACGAGAGCATTTACAACAAGGCGTACCAGATCATCGAGAAGTACTTTGGCGCTGACGAGGATGACGCTTTCAACGAAGATGGCTTACAGCCCGAGGCTTACGGAGACTCCTACGCATTTGGTGTCTCAAACAACCAGAATTTCCAGTTCTAAAACCTTTATACCAACCACAATGTCTCATTTATGATGTGTGAATGGTGCTTTGTTTGCATTGTTAACAGCTTTGTATCTATCGGAACTGGGGAAAATCAACTTCTGAGTTGCTCTCAAACCAGCCTCATCTACGAAACACATATCCGCGACGTTGGCAGCTATTCTTGCTTGCGTTTGCGAGAGCGAACACATGCCCTTTTACTATTCGAAACCTCAATTTCTCATCTTCTCGGAATAATCGTTCCCCTGCGAGCGCTCGGCTATTACCGTGAACCCACTTATATAGGTCAATAAACGAAATATAATTGCAATGAATTACATAAAGAGGCACCGTAGACTTGGGGGCCCACTATGGGAGGATGGAAAGACTTCATAAGTATGACGACAATAGTCATTCACAGGGTCGAGGCTAAATATAATTGGCTAGTGTTGAGCGAAGTCTGGCGAGTTTCGTTTTCTTTCCGCCAGGCGAGGCTCACAAATAAACAGGAGAAGAACAATCAAAATGCTTCTCTTATCATCTCTGTCATGTTAGACAGACAACCAGACAGGACAGCAGTGACTCAACCTCCAGTGAGTCAGGTACAGCTTCTCTTGCTATGAGATAATCAGATAAATACCCAAACTGTCCGAAATCGGAACACTTCACTTCACCGAAAAAAAAACCCCCAGGAGGCGCTACTCCTGAGTCTATACTACAGAGGAGACCCTCATTAGATCTTCTAGCTCTAATTTCTATTGTGGACACATCCCAGCTATGCGGGATTGGTGCCTTGGATAGGAAGATAATAATCAAGCGTAGTTTGTCTATCTAAAGCGAAGTCCATGGATTTATGTTCAGAAGTCATTTCAAAATATAATAGAGTGCTTGACAACCTGGCGTGATCGTCGAGCACAGGTCAAAGGAATAGAATACTGATCTCAATAATGTGTATTTCAGGGTTACAAGCTGTTAGACAATGCAACCCATCGAGCTAAAAGGGCTCCGAGATGAATGCAGATCTGCATTATATACCAGCGGGGTTGAATCTCTTAAGTTCGATAGAAATGATTGGAATTAGCCAGACGTCTGCTAGCCTCTGCGAAACTAAAGACCGGTCGGTGGACAGATGAAGAGAGCCTGCGGGAGCCGAAAGATCAAAAAAAAAAAAATCCAAACGAAAAGTTTGGCTCATTCTGTTTCAGATTATGTAGGGGAAAGATAAACTCTTAACTCACATATATACTAGCAGTACATGAAGAGCAAGGAAATACGCATTTCATATGTGTCTGTTGTGGCATTCACAATGCACGGGTGACATACCTTGCATTGAATCCGAGCCCGTGCAGAAATACATGAAGATGACAAAACGGCATTTACTGACCAGTGAGTCTATTTTTCGTCCAGCTTGCCCTTATCATAGTCTGGATATCTACAGATGTGGCGCGCTGTATGCTCTAAAAAGTCGTGGGGTCATGTGACTGACAACCGGCAGTTTGTTATTTATTCCCGCACGTTCCCGGCTTCAATGCAAGGTAGAACAATTTATTGTGGCAGTGCCGAGCCTGGAATAGAACGTGAGCAAATCCAACTGGACGAGTCAAAAAATGAACTAAAAGGCAAAAAAAAAACAAGATAAATGCCTGACCGTATGGCAGAAGTGGGGATTCGGTGGACTGCTCCTAATAATGTTTCACGCAACTGGTGAACTGCACACATAAGTTGTCAATATTGCCATACTGAATGTGTTCCCAAGCTAGCCATGGGAGCAAAGCCGAGCCGAGCCGAGTGAAATGCCCGGCATACAAGGCCCAATGATATGTCACTTCGCTCAGGCACCGATGCTCACACACCAAAGCTCAGACACAGAGTGGAGCGAGATGGTCCAGAAAACCGCACCTTATGAAAACTGTGTGGTCGGTATAGGGAGCCTGCTGTTCACGCAATATCTTCTCCCTGGCACCCCTCAAGAACTCCTCCGGCCTGGGTGTCTAATAAACAACAGACAGCGCGTGCTCACGTGACGCGCGCTCGATCAGCGGGGTTGCTGGTGGCGCCGGCTGTTTCGGTATGTCTTTCGCCCCATTCGGGAGTGCGAGAAATTCCCTCAAAACATCGCAGAAAAATTTCCTTCCGGCGGAAGCGCTATCTTCCGGATAAAGAACTAATCGCACCGAAAATTTTAAGCACTTGTTCAACAACTTTTTTTTATTAGAACATCAAAATGAAGTTTTCTTCTGCTGTTGCCGCAGGTGTGCTTGCCGCTGGACTTGTCTCTGCTGCTGACGAGACTAGGGAGATCGTCACCGTCACTGTCACTGGATCGACCGACACCCATGTTTATGGTAGATTTGATAAGACCAAGGACGCTACTACTTCCACCAGCTCTGGTACACACAAATATGGCCGTTTTGACAAGACCAAGGACGCCACGACTTCCACTAGCTCAGGCACTCATAAATACGGCAGATTCGACAAAACTAAGGACGCCACCACTTCCACGAGTTCCGGCACCCATAGATATGGTAGATTTGACAAGACCAAGGATGCCACCACGTCCACGAGTTCTGGAACTCACAGATACGGCAGATTCGACAAGACCAAGGATGCCACCACTTCCACAAGCTCTGGCACCCATAGATATGGAAGATTCGACAAGACTAAGGACCCTTTGACCACCACAGTTTACGTGTCTGAGGCCTCAGCCGTGGCCAGAGCCGTGGTCAACTCGACCTCTAACTCGACCTCCAACTCCTCCAACTCCTCCAACAGCTCGTCCTCGACTTCTGCCGATAGCGGTGCCGCTGTTTTGGGTTCTGGCGTCACCTTTGGACTCGCCGGTGCGGTTGCTGCCGGGTTACTTTTGATTTAGGTCTGAAAGACTCATATCAAACAAGCTCTGCCCGAGTAGAGTGCCTCATCATGCATCCCAAAAATCCCGACTAGACAGTTCATCCCACTGGACTCGCTATTTTCCTCTAGACTTCCTTAAGGCGTACTCAAGTGTTCGCTCCGCGTTTTTTTATGTTTCGTTATAATTCCAATAGATAAATTTGCTATTCCGTCGTCTTCCGTGGAGTTCCTCAGCCTTTCTTTAAATGGCGAGGTTCACGGCTTGTATTGTGCAATATATGGGTAAGTTGACCCCGGCCGTTCTTTAATTGATGGATGTAGATGCGTGACTGTCTCGGTCAAAGAGGGCAGATAACTTCTGCTATTTCAGGGTGTGGGTTGGGCGAGCTTTATGTTTCAGCTGGAAATTACTTGTTAATCGAGAGCAGCTGCTAATCATTGAACAGACCATAATTTGCTCTTTGGTTGCAAAATCCGTATTTTCGCAGACTATGAGTAGCAGCCCTGACAATCAGGCACTAACAAGTGGTATCGCAGAAACATGGCTCACTCCAATGAACATTCAAATTGATCAAGCCTCGCTAAACCATTTTTCTGGCGAAGTGGCTCTGCCCTACTTAAAAGATAGCTTGCTCATCATGTTCTTTTTAACTGATTGTTGCGTTGTTGTACGGGATCGTGTTTGATAGCATCCGGAAAGAACTTTATTCATACAACATCCGAGAACCTGGTTTTTTGCCGAGCTTCCCGGTCCCGGAGGGATTTACCAGGAAATAAAAAATGGTGTCGGCAGAAGACAGCTGAAATCAGAAGGGAGGCAGCGACCATTTATGGGTATCTTACTCTAAGCCTCACAAGAGGCTGTGTCCCATTGAGAGGCTGTGTGAATCCCATGTTATTCCATGTTATTATTAACCCGCACCTGAGGAATCCGGAATAAAAAAGTTAGTAGACATCAGTAAATATAGCTTAGGATGCCATTCGTAAAACACTATAGAGTGAATCTGGGAGTTTCAATCTTGGTCACGCGTCTATGTGCAATATTCAGACTCGTCAAGGATTACAAGTCATAGCTAGCATCACAGGAACTTAAAAAAGACATTTCTGTTCATTATATATCTACTGTCATATACAGTGATGCTACTTTTGCTGTCTTTGAACAGTCATTCGCAACTTCTTCACCTGTGCTATTTCACGCTCCAATTCGACCTTGAGTTTCTCGACGTCTTCAAGTCTCTGCTGTAATTTCTCAGCCTTTTCTTTGAGTTCAAAACTCAGTCCATGGTCCTCGGCAAGCAGGGACAAGCCATCGACCGGATGTACGGCCGTTCTTTCTAGGTTTGCCTTCTGCTCGAACGCGAGAGGCCCCTTTTTCACCATGGATGTAATTAGCTCATAAGCAACCTGCGCACCATTCGTAGAGGTGATTTCCGCATGATCAAAGTCAGGATTCACTTCGACAATATCAGCACCCACAACTGACAACAGATCAATACCTCTGAGTACGTAGAGAAGTTCACGGGGAAGCCATCCACCCGGCTCCTGCGTTCCCGTGCCGGAGCCAAAGCCAGGATCCAACACATCGATATCTACACTGATATACGTGGGACTGTTTTCTGGAACAGTAGCTAGGATGCGGTCGATAACACTCTGCACCCCATCGATCCATATGTCATCGGCAGAAATTCTCGTCCAGTGTTGCGCATCATCATCCTGGAGATCCGCAGGTCCTGACAATTTTGTGCGGATTCCCGCATGAAGATTGTTTGTGGAAATGAGCCCTTCTTCGAAGGCTTTCCACAACATAGAGCCGTGGTTAATTTCGCTCTGAGGAGTCAGCCAGAACGATGGATACTTGTCAGGTTTCCACGTGTCCAAATGTGCGTCGAAATGAATGACGTTGATTGGGCCGTAAATCTTGTGAAGTGACCGGAGATGAGGCAAGATCACCGAATGATCTCCACCGAGGGCCACATATCTTGGTGCTTTTGAGTCTTCAGCACTGGCTGAATGTTCAAGGATTAACTCCTCGAATGCCATGGTCATTTGTTTGAATGCCAAATAATTGTCCATCGGGGTCACGGGAATATCTCCACAATCTAATATTTTCGCCCAAGATGTATAAGGATTGAAATCGGCACGCGGGTTATAACCTCTAAATGAAGTTTGTCTTTGTGACGCAGCTCGTATTGCACGAGGCCCAAATCGGGCCCCCAGGCGATACGACGTGGCGGTATCAAAGGGCACGCCAATGAGCGCTATGTCGTATGTCAATTCCCTATCTACGAGACACTGCTTGTAGGGCAAGTGCGCAAAAGTATTGATACCTTGAAAGGGCCAGGCTTCACCCCATATATCTTGCAACTGAGGTGCTTCATTTTCAGTATTGATGACGTGTTTCTCGCTGACTTTGTATTGGGCATTCACCCCGCAGATCGCTAGCGCCAACAGCAATAGATCCACAGATCTCATAGTTAAGGAGCAAGAAGAAGAGTACCGGAAGAAAAAAAAAGCTTTGAAAGAATTAGCAAATTTTTATACCTCCAACACCAATTAGATAGGACTCGGCGAGAAAGACCTGGCGACCGCTGAATATATATGGGCAGTGATAGGCCAGAAACGGAATTTGGAAGCATGCGATTATCGCAGCGGAATTACGGATTGTGCCAAGGATATGCAGGTGTAAATGCGCTAGCGCCAGCTGGCCGCGGACTCGTTTTTGATGATGTACGATCTAGCTGATAAGCTGGGTGATGGTCAAATATAATTTGCTTTTCAAAAAAAAGCTAAGTCAGGGTTGAGTGTGGCTTAAATGCCGTTGGTCGCTGAGTTTTCTTCTCAAGTTATTCTCCACCTACTAAAAAGGTGGTACTTTTTTTAATATAACCCATGTTTTCTCATCTCATGAACAACTTACTACGAAACTAATATTATTCATTGAGAGCCTGTACACAAAACTCTACATGAGAGAAACGATGATGTCGTTAAGAATTTCTTTTTGAGAATGTCTTCCGCTCTGGCTTGAAGTCCCGGTGATCATCACCTGAACTAAAAATATTGAACCTGCGATTCGCCAGAAAAACTGTATACGAAAAGAGATTCTACGGACGAGATTGGACAGCCAAGAAAGAAAGATTCCTCTTTCAGGCTCGTATTAATATCGGTACAAAGAGGGATATCTCTATGATTATCAAATCCCAAAGTGTAGACCGTAATATGAAAACACCCATTTTATGGCGCAAGAGCTGGCTCGTATGATTGTGAGTAGTTTTCATCACTTCTTTGAATGTGAGACACGGGTAGCACCATGGGGGAATTTGGTACCCGATCCACCTCCAGAATTTCCGTTGCTTCTTTTTTTGGGTGCCATGGTTTTATACTCGAAATCTGGTAATCGGAATTATTCTAGAGCTTTCTTGCTATGTTACTCTGAACGCAAGGGGACCATTCCTGAGGCTAAGCCCTGTTTGTTAACTCATTCTCAAAGATCGGTGAGAGGTAACATACATGCACAGGTCGTGCAGAGCCAAACACCTAGTGTAAAGAAGACCATACACTCGAAAGATGTCCATCATCACTCCAGAATATTTGATGGGAGACTGATCTTTTTGCTCTCTCATTAAAATTTCCGCATCTATCAAGTGGAAACTCAATTAGATTAGGCCATTCCATGGGCTCAGACGTATCTCGAGTCTATAACATCTAAAGCTAGTATACATAGAATGGTCAAATTATTTGGAGACCCTCTTACGGACAAGGCCCCTCCAGGTTTGTACGCCCAGGTGCCACACGAGCAAGCGCCCGTTGGATGCAATTTATCTACCCCAATTCAGACAAACAACACATTCAACAACATGCTTCTAGGGGACCAGACATTCCCGATTTGGCCTCTTCCATACCTGGTGTGGGTCACTCGGGATGGGGGTGTGGATGCCGGAATAGCATTGAACCACACTCAAAATAGCCAAATCGTTTGTGGGCCTGATCCGGTGCAAAATCCGACACAGTTCTACTTCAACCCGCCCAAAATCAAGCTGTTTGCGTTCACAGCATCTGACTGGGCTGATGTAGACGTAAATATCGCGCGGAATTCGAAACTAGCGACTGTTCTACATGTATCTGGAAAATCCCGTGACCCCAGGACTTCCCGTTTGGTGGTGCCCTTAGTATATGGCATGGGATTTGTCACGGGCATTTACGAGAATGAGTGGCCAGTGATAAATTCTGCTGTTGGGATACAAGAATTCCGTAAAGTGGGGATCGTAAATAAACACCGTGCTGCCAAGTACTATGTGAAGTTATTTGACCAGGTCGTATGGTCATTGTACATCAGTGTTAATGGCGGAGCTGAGTTCACTTTATCAGATCCACACCACATAAGGGCAGACCGCCCCGTAACCAAGTGTGTGGTTCAGTTGGCAAGAGGGGAGACGGCCATTTATGACACTTGTTGTCAAAGATATCCTGTCGATGTGATTCTTTCGGGGGAAGTTGATAAATCACTGAAAACTGGGTACTATGCGCTAAACTATCAAATGGAAGGTGAATCTCAGTCTGGCTCAGGATTAGTCTTTGTGCTCCCGCATATGCAAGAGGAGTTGGCGCCGGAGATACGTTCCAAGTTTTCAGGCTTGATCTTGGACTCACCCACGAAAGGAGTGATGAGAGGATATGTCTCCGATGTGATTGCCATGAACCTCAATAATCTCCCATTTGATATTGGGTTTAAGCCTTGGACTGGGGTACAGGGGTATTTCTATAGCGGGGCAAATTACACCGATGAAATCAAGAGCTTGATCACGTCTGTTGCGGCGAATGAGGCCAGTCAAGACGTGACAGGCATGTGCGACTTGGACTCAATGTACTTTGCTGGCAAAATGTTGGATAAGTTTGCCCAAATTGCGTATGTGGCACATTTCATCGTTAGGAGCTCGGATGTCACTCTGAAAATTTTGCCCCAAATCAAAGCTGCAATTGAGAAATTCGCTGCAAACCATCAAAAAAAACCATTGGTGTATGATGTGTCTTGGAAAGGGCTCATTTCCTCAGGTGGTCCAGATGAGGATTTTGGAAACTCGAACTACAATGACCATCATTTTCATTATGGATATCACGTACATGCAATTGCGTTAGTGGCCATCATTGATCCTCGATGGCTCGACGAAAACGGGGGCCTTATAAGAAACTACGCGGTGACGCTTGTGCGGGATTATGCTAATTTTTCGAACCGGGACCCGTTTTTTCCGCAAACCCGAAATTTCGACTGGTTCCATGGCCACTCATTTGCGCATGGTATATTTCCCAGTGGCGATGGGAAAAACGAGGAGTCTTCTTCGGAAGATTATCACTCCATACATGCTTTGCAGCTTTTGGGTAAGGTCTTGGGCAATGATGAACTAGAGGCCCATGCTTGCTTGATGTTGCGTATCATGAAAACCTCGCTTAATATGTATATGCTCTTCAAGGACGACAACCAGCAGCAACCCGTGAATTTCAGAGGAAACAAAGTGTCCGGCATTTTGTTTGAAAATAAGGTTGACTTCGCCACGTTCTTTGGGCGTGGAACTGTTGGGGATGAGTTCATACATGGAATCCACATGATTCCAATCACACCGGTCTCATCATACATACGTGATCCTATTTTTGTAAGGGAGGAGTGGCAAGAAAAATTAGCAGGCATAGTGGACAGAATCCCGGATGGCTGGCAAGGCTTACTCAGGCTCAACCAGGGTCTTTTTGATCCACCGACAGCATGGAAATGGTTTGCCAGATCTGACTGGAATCCGGCTTTGATCGATGGTGGTATGTCCCGGACCTGGTCATTGGCATATCTTGCCGGAATTGGCGCCGCACAGTAATATTGAGAGGAAAAGCAAAAAATACAATATTGTTGACACACGCGAGACGATAGAAGGCGGTTCCAGTAGATCGATAGTGTGTAGAACGTGCCGTAAGATAAAGCATCAGATAAGGTATCCATTTTCAACAAGATAATAATAATAATGGCTAGACCCGCGTGGGGTTCCCCGCAGATAAACCTTTCGACCAAAATGGTAAACCGAAATATGTTGTGCCGCGTATGAGAATCGAGTGCCGGACAGCTTATCTTATCGCCGCCTGCAGTCAGGTACACAACATACCATGCATGTTCCATCCAATGTGACATATAAGATGTGCCATCTACAACGTGTTGCACGGTTCCGCACAAAGAGTAGCAGTACAATAAAAAATGCCCGTCTCTACCCTCGATTATAAAAGCATTGCTTTAAGGAAACGTCAGCATAGAAACGCCCAGTTCAAAAAAGAGTGGTTGGTTCCTGAGTTTGAATTGCCCACCCCAGAAACCAAGGACGTGTCCGGATGGATCGAGAATTCTGACGTGCTTTCCGAGCATGAGCTTAAAATTACTTCAGCATCAGCTGAGGAAATCGTGTCTAAGATAAGAGAGGGTTTATGGTCTGCGGTTGATGTGACCAAGGCTTTTTGCCATAGGGCTTCTGTTGCACATCAATTGACCAATTGCTTATCCGAGGTATTTTTTGACGACGCAATCGAGCAGGCCGAGAAATTGGACAAGTTCCAGCAGAAAAATGGAAAAACCCTAGGTCCTCTTCACGGTTTGCCCATTGCAATGAAGGACAACTTCAACATCAAGGGCCAGGCCACTTCGGTAGGCATCGTCAGCTGGTCGGTTTCCCCCGAAAAGGCTGAATCGGATTCTGTCTTGGTTAGAATCCTTCGGGAAATGGGAGCTGTGTTTTATGTGAAAACCAATGTGCCAGTGGCTATGATGATGCCGGAGACAAACAATCATATTTACGGAAACACGGCCAATCCGTTCAACCGGCTATTATCTGCCGGCGGGAGCAGTGGAGGCGGTGCCAGCTTGGCCTCCCTCACAAATGCTATCGCAGTCTCCACTGATATTGGCGGCAGTATTCGGATTCCTGCCAGTTTTGCCAAGGTGTACTCGTTAAGACCTACATTTGGCCGGTTTCCCACGTATGGGGCTCGGTCTGGATTACCTGGTTTGGAATCCGTCAACAGTGTCAATGGCCCCATTTGCCAGGATATCGACACACTAGAATTCTACTCGAGAATTGTTGTCGAAGGCAAGCCGTGGCTTCATGACCCTAAAACAGTTGAGATCCCGTGGAGGCCCATTACACTCGAGGGCACAATGACATTTGCTGTTTTGAGTGATGATTTGATAGTTCGCCCCACACCGCCCGTACTTCGTGCCGTAGATAAGGTGAAAGCAGCACTTATCAACGCCGGACACGAGGTGATTGACTGGGAGCCAACAGATCATCTTCGCTTATCAGAGATCATCACGAAGTTTTTCGTGTCTGATGGTGGCGTGCACTTGAAAAAAGAGATTGACAAGACCGGTGAGCCCTTCTTCCCATACATGGAGAGGTACGGCACTACCCCAGAGATGAAAGTCGGCGAGCTTTGGGATTTGCACTATGAGAGAACCTCTTTGGCTAAAAAGTATCTCGACAGATGGAACGATACGAGCTCTCAAACTCAAACGGGTAAGCCCATTGACGCCATCATCATGCCTGCCAGTCCATTTGCAGGAAATCCCCATGGAAAGTTCCATGACCATGTTGGGTACACATCTCCCTTCAATCTTTTGGACTACACGGCGGGAACATTCCCAGTGACTAGAGTGGACCAGTTCGTAGACATCAAAGAAAACCGATCGACGTTTTACTGTGAGACGGATAGGAAAATTTGGGAGGACTACAGCCCGGAAGAGTCACATGGTGGATACGTCGGTTTGCAGATAATAGGCCGGAAATTTGAGGAGGAGAAAGTGATTTCTATGATGAAGTTGGTCACCAATGTTTGCGCACCATCTTTGTGAGATCCATTTCGGATTATGGAGAGTATCAACCTTCTAAAGATCAGTAATTAAATGCATTGCTTCAGCTATTCAAGAAATAACAATCAAGAAAAGAAAAAATACAAAACAGAATTAGGTAATCTAAAACGGCGGAAAGATAAAGAAGTGGCCTCTCCACACCCACGGACCAGAACAGTAACATTTGTTTGTAATCACCAGGATTTGGCAACCAGCGTCTTCTGGTGAAAGAAAAAGAAGCTAGGCAGCCGAAAGCAAGGGGATTTGCTCTTTCTGTGGACAAATTCTACTTCTTTTACTGAATCCCAAAACGGAACCCCAGATACGGCTCCAAATGTCGTATTGAAGAGGAAACCCGCATTATTGCACGAAATTAGAAACATGAAACTTTGCCCAGCATTCTCGCAGGGAAAAAGGAAACCCGAAAAGCAAGCCCTTTTCTCAAGGAGATACTGCAAAACGGGAAAGCCGATAATATATATTTTTGCGAGCGATCGGGCGATAACGTTGTTTCGTATCTCTAAATCTCAGCCGTGCATATCAGCCATATTTGAGCCACAGTAGTAATGCAAGATTCGCGGCCAATTTGGTTGCGCATCCCAACATCTCAACATATCGGGTTGCGATGCCCGATACATCAGACTGCACGAAGAGGCAACGGTTCATTGCTTAAGATAAGCTGATCTGAAATTGTATATAGTCATAGAGAACATTCTAGCTTATGTTGTCCCATATAACTGATCCTTCAAACAATACTGTATGTCCAAATTAAAAGACGTCCTTCTCGGGAAGTCGTCCTCCGACCCTGCCGAGGTCAAACTTGTGCGCAAGATCGACTGGTTCGTTCTTTCCTTCTGTTGCCTACTTTACTGGGTTAATTACTTGGACAGACTCAATCTCTCCAATGCATACGTCAGTGGAATGAAGGAGGACTTGAATATGGAGGGGAACCAGTTCAACCTCATCAATACGTGTTTTAATATCGGGTATATCGTTGCGTTGATTCCCCACAACTTGATTCTTCTCAAAATACGCCCCAGATACTGGCTTTCGTTTTGTTGTGTTTCCTGGGGCTTACTCACGCTTTCTTTATACAAAGCAACTGGCTATAAATTTTTGTGCGTGGTGAGGTTCTTCCAGGCTATGTTCGAAGCGCTGACGTTCACAGGGTGCCATTTGCTCTTAGGGTCATGGTACACCGAAGAAGAGCTTGCGAAAAGAGCCGCCATTTTCACGTCGTCGGGGCTTTTGGGAAACATCTTCTCGTCAACCATGCAGTCTGCCATCTACACGAACATGGACATGAAAAACGGTCTTGCAGGGTGGCGCTGGCTCTTCATCATCGACTTCTTGATCACTGTGCCCATTGCCATTTACGGACTCATCTTTTTTCCCGACACTCCCGATACATGCAAGGCTTTTTATTTCAAGGACGAGGAGATCAAGTTGGCTTTGCAACGAGTTAAGCCGAGACCGCATACAAAGCTTGACTGGACTGTTGTCAAGCGTGTTTTGGGCCGTTGGCACTGGTGGATGTTCTCGTTCCTTTGGGTTCTTGGGGGCGAGAATGAATCGTTTGCTTCAAACTCGCTTTTTTCGCTCTGGCTACAATATTTCGGATATACTGTGCCGCAGCGGAATCACTATCCAATGGGTGTCTTTGCTATGGGCATTTTGGCCAACTTTGTCTTGTGCTACTATATTGACATAACTCACGGCAAGTACCACTATAGAGCGGGTTTAGTGATCGCTGCGTTTGTGCTTTTATCGGCCATTTTGTTAACTGCAAGACCTTTAGACAAAAGCTTTGTTTTCGCCTCCCATTACTTGAGCGCATGGTCATTTGCCGGCCAGCCGGTGTTTTTCTCTTGGGCCAATCTCGTGACCTACAACGATGTCCAGGAGCGTGCTGTGGTGCTAGCATCCATGAACATGATGAGTAATGCCGTCAACGCATGGTGGTCTTTGCTTTTCTATGCCGCGGACACTGCACCGGAATTCAAGAAGGGTTGTTATGCAATGATCGCCACTGCAATCGCCTCCGCAGTGACTGTAGTATTCATCAGATACTTGCAGCTTAGGGATAAACGCGAAAAGCCCCAAGATACTATTTTGGAAGATGCAGTGGATGGAAAATCCGAGGACATAGTGCTTGAGCAGACTGTGTCTGCTTGCTCAAACCCTGGGCCTGGGTCTTTAAAGAGGAATGCCAGCATTAGCATCAATGAGGTGCCTTCGGCGGAATCATCAACGCAGGTGAATATTAAATAATGCTAGGATTGAATACATGTCACTAGTGTGAGATGTACTGAAATGCAAACGAAACATCGTTGAACTCGCTCTCGTTTCGCAAGAGGATATCCTCGTTGTTACACAAAGCCTTGTGGTTTAAATGATTCCATGTCGTAGCGTCTCCGTACAACATTGCCGGTGACTTGACGAGCTGGCCCTTTTCTCGAGAGCACCGCCTGCAATTATAGGTATCATGTGTGTCACATTCTGTGTCCAGTCGGTATTGGAAAAGAAGGCGCAACATGTCACCACTGAATATACGCTCCACGTCCTCCTTCTCATCCACAACACACGACGACAACGAGAGCTTCATGGATTGTCTTTGGAATATCTTTTCTTCGATGGAGCCAGTGCAGATGAATCTGTAAATGAAGCAGTCTTTTTTCTGCCCGTCTCTCCACACTCTTGCCAACGCTTGCTGGTCCGATGCAGGGTTCCAATCAGGGTCCATCAAGACCAACCGGTTGGCACCAATCAAGTTGATACCACACCCGCCTGCTTTGGAGGACAACAAAAAGATGAACTCTGGGCCATTGGGGTCGTTGAACTTGTCGACGATTTTCTGTCTCTTGTTGATGCCCATCGTGCCATCAAGACGAAGGGAGCCAAATCGCTTATAGCGGCACATCCGCTCAATCAAATCAAGCGTTCGTGTGTAGTTCGAAATGACCACGATTTTGTCGTTTGTCTCAAGGTGGATCTTGTGCAAGAAACGCTCGAGCACAGAGAACTTGGCCCCGTACCAGGTCTGGATCTCGCGGCCACGGCCGCCAAGATCCAGCGACTCGTACTCGTCCGGGATGAGCTTGTGACTCCCATCCACTTCCTGTGGCAATTTCAAAAGGTCAGGATGCGTGCACAACTTCTTCAACGTGTCAATTGCCTTCAAAGGCTGGGAGCTGATGACTTTCTTGTTGGCGTCCGAGGTGATGAAGTGCTCGTAGACAGCCCTCTGGAAGTCCGTGAGCCCGACGTACACTACGTACTCGTACTTGACGGGCAAGTACTTGGAGAGGATGTCGTTGGTGCGCCTGATGATGAACTTGGAGACCATCTGCGACAACTCGGTCAACTTCTCCTGGCCCTTCTTCACCTCGGTGTCGGACGCGTCAGCATCCCTGCCCTTCAAAATCGAGTTCTCGTAGTGCTTGCGGAAGTCGTTCCTGGTTCCGAGGTAGCCTGGGTTGGCGAAGTTGAGAAGCGAGAAGTACTCGGACAAATCGTTCTGGATGGGCGTGCCGCTCAATATCACGCGCCGCTCGCAGCGGAGCGCGTTGAGCGCCGTGAATGTGAGCGAGTCGCCGTTCTTCAAGCGGTGGCCCTCGTCCGCTAGCATGAGCCCGACCTCGGTGCCCGCTAGCTTGTCCACGTTTCTGCGCAAAGTCTCGTAGGAAATGATCAACACGGGCCGCACGATGTTGCGGCCCGACGCCACCGACCACTGCTGGAGCGCCTGGCCCAAGTCAGCAGCCTTGGTGCTTTTTCCGTCGACCGCCAACGGCGTGAGCACGCCCTCGCCCAACCACTTGATGATCTCGTTGGCCCAGTTCCGCACGAGCGACGACGGGCACACAATGATGCACTTCTCGATGGTCTTCTTGCCGCGCGGGCCCTGCCGCAAAAGCGTCCACATGAGCGCCAAGCACTGGAGCGTTTTGCCGAGCCCCATTTCGTCGGCCATGATGCACCCCTTCGCCCGCGGGTCCTTGAGGCCGGCCGTGCACCGGTAGAGAAACTTGACGCCCTCGATCTGGTGGGGCCGGAGGATCTTGGCGAGCCGCGGGTCGATGACCACGGGCACGTCCGGGTACTTGATGGCAGCATCGGGGTTCTTGCAGATGCCCAAAATCTCCGCGAGCGACTTCTGCGGGCGCCGTTTTTTGGCGGGCGGCTCCTCGGCATCGAGTGCCTCCGGCTCCGACGAAGACAGCCGGATCACGGTGGGCTCGCGCGGCTCCGAGGACAGAATGGAGGAGCACGAGGCGTTGGACACGTCGTCGTCTTCTGCCACGGGGAACACGTCGACGGTGGGGTCGTAGAGGACTATGGCAAACTCGCTCGTGGGGTCGTGGAGCGCACGGGGCGGCAACACGACTTTGCGCCGCGTGCCCAACGGCGGTGGCGGCAAGGCATTGGCCACGAGGTCCCTGTTGGATTCGGTCCTGGCAAACGGCACGGCAAACAGCCGCCGGAACGCGGTTTCCGTATGGACAAGCGCGTTGCCTTGTAGCCGTGCCCGGGGCATGAGGGCGCCGCGTTTCTTGGGCCGGACGGGCTCGCCGTTCTCATCGACATTGTACTCCTCGCTTCTGCCAGGGCCAGGGCCCTCTGGCACGTCGCCGTCTGCGTAGTTTTTGGCGCCGTTTTTGGCCTTGCGGTCGGGGAGCCGCAGCGGAACGTTTTGGTTGAGAGAGCCGCCGGACTTGTTGGCGAAGGGCACCCGGAAAGGCTTTGCTAGACGCGTCTCGGAGTCCTTGATTTTGGGCGGGCGGTTCTCCTTGGCCACGCCGGCGCCGGACCCGAACGGCGTCGTGAACTTGGTGAGTGGTTTCCTGACGGCCATCTGCGTAAGGCCTGCGAGAAAAAAAAGCGGGGAGACGGTGGAATTGTGTGGGGCTTGGACGTTTCAAATACACTGGATGTACGCCTTGATGTCTATTTGGGCGTTCCTGCGGATAGCAGGGCAGCGGAGGCGAAACACGCCCGCGTGTGCACACGCACCCGTACACCCGCCTGGGGGTCGTCCTGGAGCCCAGGCGAAAAACGGCAAAAAAGTGCTGTTTTTGGGTAAAAGAGTGTGTCGGCCGCTAGCGCGAGACACGGACACACGGGAACGGGCGGTCTTGCGGCGCAGATCGGACAGCGCCGTGTCATCGGGCCAGCCAGGCGAAGCCGCTATATGCACTCCCGGAACCATGCTCCAGTCTTTTCCACAACCTGTAAAGCTTGCCGGCTCTTCTTCAAGCGGAAACCCCGCCGAAACCGAACTCCAGCTAGCGCCAAATCCGATGGATGAGATTCTCGCTAAAGCCAGCTCGCAGGCAGTGACGTTTGCAATCCGCTCGGGCATCTCGTTGGCGTCCGGGTTTGCCATCAAGAAGGTGTCCCAGTTGCTAGATAAGATCCCGCCTTCAGAAAAGGCTCGCTTGGAGAAGACCAGTGCCCGGCTCAACACGAAAACAGCCATTTTGGCCACTTCCATTGACCTCATCAAACTCAGCGCTGCGCGGGGAAACTCGGCCTTGGAGGCCACGGTGGACATGGTGTCGGACTTGAAGGACGAAATCGACACTTTCGACGCGGAAATCGCCGCTATTTTGCAGGGCTTCAGCTCGGCCAACGAGAAGGAGTCGGTGCGGGCCGCGGAGCGCAAGATCTCGGCGCTCTTGGACTCGGTCAACGACGCCATTCCGCTCATCAACCTCGCCCTCATTACTAGCGGGGTTTCCTTGAACAATGCCATGGACCCGCGGGTGTCGCCCAGCCGGCTCCTCCAGGCGGCCAGCCACGTGACCGGATCCAACGCCGAATACGCCCGGCGTTCTGAAGGCCCCGTGAGCGTGGGCCCTGTATTTGATCTCAAGTTGTACTCTGTTTTCTACAACCCGAGTCGACTCAAGTACGTGGACGAGACAAGCGCGGCAAGCACCGAAGGAGGAGCTTCTGCCGTCTCCTGGAAAGAGGAGTTTGCGCGTGCGCTGTGCCTAATCGAGCGGGTGCCAGGCAAGCTATACGAGTACGATCTTGTGGTCACAGAGGATTTTGACGACGGTCGGTATCACGACGACAACGAGGCCCCGGTCACCAGGCGGTACAAGGTCCGCGACATCAGCAAGCAGTTTTTTAGTGCCAGCGGCAAATTGCTCCGGCTCGAGGGCTCCAACTCGCCAGTGCTTACGTTGAAAATACAGACTGCAGGGGCCCCAGAATACGTTGCCTTGGGTGAAGTGGGCACGAGTTTTGACGACGCGGACAGTGATAACGACGACGCGGACGGAGACCCCGACACGGCGCTCATCAATGCCAAGGAACTACAAACGAACGAGAAGTTCAGGAGCCTCTCTCTTTTGGAGTACTTGGTGCGACTCGTGTCGCTCCAGGAGAGTGAACAAATGTCGATCTTGGAGGTTAAGGACGAAAAGCTTCTGCTTTATCTCCACGACCGCACCGACAAGTCCTTTGTACCGCTCAGCCACGAGGAGAAGCGGAGACTACAGACGAAGAGCGAATCCCATGGCCACATGCTCCAGGTGGACTCGAGTGTCCACCGGCTTAAGAATTTGTCGTTACAAGAAGACGCTGTTTGATCATAGCGTTGTCCTCTTCGTTGTTTATTGAAGACAGTTTATAAAGCCGATAAATAAGTCGCACGAGGACCACGCATGAGGAACAAAACCGAAGAAAAAAAAAGCTTAAAAAAACTTCCATGTGGATTCCAGTCATAGACCATTCTGCAAAGGTTGTGTAGTCTCAAAAAGCTCCTGATACATCGGTATCAATGAGAAGTCTGGGTCTTCAATGTTGAAATCATCGTTAAGTTGGGGAAACAGTGCGGTTTGAGCGACGGAGACATTGTCCCTGGGCGGAAATGCGGTAGACTCCTCAGTGACCTCGCGTAGATACGAGTCAAGCTCTGGTGTTCTCTTTGCCGCGGTATCGTCGTAGCCGATGAACCTTTTTTCAAGGATCTTCTGCGGTGAATTTTCCACCGAAGAGCCGGCTTTAACCGAATATAGCGCGTGGTCTTTCGACATGGAGTTGTGGTGTAGCTGCAGATGCGAACGGGAAAGGGACGCCTTTCTTCGTGTCTGCAGAACCTGTCTCGAAGGCATGGATGACTGCGGCGTTACGTTCCCGCTGAACTGCCAGTTTCTCGGAGCTTCCTCGTCGCTTAAGATGGGCAACAGACGGTTCTCGTTGTAAAGCCCCGGCGAGTTGTAACTGGCGGTCTGAAAGTCGTCGGTCGAGTTGTTGTCGAGATTGAAAGGTGGGTATGCGGCGGAGGTCTGTGCCTTCGGGAAGTTATGCTGGCTGATCTGCGAGGACTCGAACAAATTCTGTTTGCTCGTGTTCGAGGACGTGGACGCCGCGGACATGACGCTCTCGGACCGCTTGGGCCTGCTGCTTTGATAGCCCACTGTGAATGAAGACGACGGCTTTAGAGGCCGCGGGTGGTGCGTGGCGCCCGAGTTTATGTTGGTGAGGGAGGCCGAGGATGGATGCGTCGACTGTAGGCTTGTTTGAATAGATGAGTTTATGGGTTGAGAGGAGCCACTCCTGTTGCGGCTGAGCGACGTGTGCGGCCCGTCGGTCTTGAACGTGCTAGCCAGCACGGAATAGGGCAGGGACACGCCATGCGTGCCCGTCCTGTGCGGGTCGGGGCCCCGCGAGGGGTCCAGGTGGTTGCTTCCCTCGGGCAAGCCCAGGAGCGGGAGCGATCTGTCGTGCTCGAACGAGTTGAAGCCGACCAAGGGGAAGAGCGGAAACATGTTCTCCATGAGGTCCAAGTCCGTGTCGGAGGGCGAGTGCGGGAAGTAGGCCGTGTCCCGGTCCTGCGGCGGCGGCGGCCGGCGCGGGAGCGCAGCGCCGGCAAGCCCGGCAGGGAAGGCCTCCCCGAAGCCGTGGTAGGGGGCGTTGGGCGGGGGCGGGTTCGGCGGGCCGGGCCCGGGCTGGGCATGCAGCATGTGTGCGGGCGCCACGGGCGGGCCGGCGAGCGGCTCTGCCGGCGCGTGCTCGGGCGTGCCGCTGGGGAACTGGTCCAGCGACGAGAAGTAGTCGAGGAGCCCCTGGTTGGTCTCGAAGGGCAACGCGATGTCCTCGATGAGGAAGTCCAGGTCATGCTTGGACGCGGCGCCGGCCGGGCCGCGCAGAAAGTCGCTCTGCAGCTGGCTGGCCTCGCTGTGGCTGGCGTCGCCCGAGTCCAGCGCAGCCACGTCCGGGCTGGGCGGCTTCCGCGGCGCCACGGGCGGCTTCTTGTCCTTGGCCACGCACGTGCAGTGGGAGTTCTTGTGGCACAGGCACGACGCCAAGTGCTGCCCGGGCGACTTGCCCTTCTTGCCGCAGTGGCACAGCGTGTGTGCGTTTTTGATTTTGCGCTGCTCGCGGCAGTGTGTACACTGGGACGCCGGGCGGCCCTTGGGCTTGATCATGACCAACGTCTTGTCGGTGTGGGTGCACGCGCTGACGCGGTGGCCGCGTATGCAGCGCTCACAGGCGTACTTGATGCCGTTGAGGAGCACCATGGGTCAGGGGGGTTGGGGCGGCCTTTTAGGGCGGGGGCAGGGGGGCTGCCGGCGCTAGCAAGGATGGGGGCAGTGGCGGGAGTGGTGCGCCCACGACAATCCGGGAAAAAAACACAAAAACGCCCGGGAGAAAGGAGCGGACGGGGAGGAGGCGGGTGGCGACGACGTGATGCTCCAGGGCACGTGGTCTGTCTCGCCTGCGTTATATGGGGCGGGCTTTATATTTTTAGATGGGGGCGGAAGATTCCTCCTGTTTTTAGTGGTGGTTCACGTGGAGTGAGACAAGCGCCGAAGAAGTTGAGCGTGTGCGATTTGGGGCTGCGCGAAAACAGGATTTTTTTTTTTTTGGCCCGCTTGCCTGGCAGCCGCTCGTGACTGGAATTGCCACGGGGCGGAGGCTGGGGCCGCGCGCCGATCCTGGCTTGGGGCCGCCGCCCTGGGGCCGCCTGCGCATGCTCCCAGACAGAGGGGGGGATGTTGGGGCCGACGTCGGCTTTGGGCGTTTTTTTTTTTCTTTTTCTGCCGCCATATTGTGCTGTGGCGTTTTTGCGGCTTTCCGGATGGGCGCCCGGGGCTTCCTTGCATTTATTGCTGGTGGGGCATGGGTATTGGATGGGCGACCGTGGTGTGTTTGCTGCAGGATTTTGCCGTTTTGTCTGGGCGAGGCGGGCTGGGTGCCGTGATTTGGGAGCACTGCCTGGCGCGGCCGGTCGAAGCCCCAGGGGCCGGTCTGGCAGTTGTCTGTCTCCATCTTTTGATCTGTGGTTTGTAGGTTGTTGTTCTCTGGTCTTGATGGTTTTTGTATTGTTATTTAGTATTTGTTTTGTTATTCGTTGTTTTTTTGTTATTAGTTGTTTTTCTTATTTATTATCTGTTTTGTTGTCTAGCATTTGTTTTGATAGTGGTCATTTGTTTTGCTATTAGTTCTTTTTTTGCTAGTAATTGTTTTTTCTTATTTCTTCTTTTTTGTTATTTAGTATTTGTTGTTTGTTATTTAGTATTTGTTTTGTAATTATCTTATCTGTTTTGCTATTGCTAGGGACTTCACGGGACATAGGGGTTATGTATTACTATTTGATCACTGGTTTCTCTAGAACTAATGTCACGCTGATACCAGGGTCCTTACAACTGTTGCATACATTTTTTTGTTATTTATTATATGTTTTGCTCTTAGTAATCCGTTTTGGTATTAGTTTATTGCTTTGTTATGAGTTATTTGTTTTGCTATTAATTTATTTGCTTTGGTCTTAGTTAATTGTTTAACGATTAGTTATTTGTTATGTTCTTGATTATTTGTTTTGCTATTATATTTTTTTTCTTATTTGTTATTTTCTTTGTTACTAGTCATTTGTTTTGTTCCTTTCCATTTGTTTTTTATTACTTATTTGTTTTGCGATGTTATCTGTTATACTATTAGTTATTTGCTTTGGTGAAGTCCCTAACAGGTATTAGTTAATTGTTTAATTATTAGCTATTTGTAGTGCTTTTACTCATTTGCTTTTGTTTTTCGTTTTTGTCATCCCAGTTTATTCCATCCCGTTTGTATTTTTTTGCTTGTTTTTATTTGCTTCTTGTTGATTTTGTTAGGCGTCGCCTGTTTTAGTTGTTTGATACCGGTGACCCGTCATTTGCCTCCTCTCCCTCTTACGCAGTCTGCGCCTGTTGAACTTCCGTGCAGCGACTTTGTTCTGGTCCTAAGCGAATTGGCCCTGCCGAGAAGTATACTGCTGACTGTCCAAGTCGGCATTTTGTACCCGGAGTGCTTGTATTGCGATTCCTGGCAACTCATGTCATGGCCAGTCGCCAAGCAGACCATACGGCACACCTTTCCAATATACTTGACTGAGAATTGGACATCCAATGGTGACACTGCCCGCTCGGGCCCTGGCCCCATTGCCTGCACTCCCGCACCTCTGGCCAATCAACGAGAAACGCCAGTGGCCAATAGAGCGAATCTACTAAAGCCATACGCTTTGGCCACGCCGGCGTGCTTGCACTTTTTTGCAGTGACTGCACTTTTTGCTGGCGACTGCACTCTTCTTCTGGGCGTTGAACCTTGCTTCCAGCCACGGCTTAGAGCCACTGCATCTTGCTAAGCTGGGGCTGTTTTCGGCGTTTCTGGTGGGGCGGAACCGAGCCAAGTCCCATGCCTACCGACCCGCAGTTCGCACCCACGGCAGATCCATGGCCCTCAGTGCTCTTTGCTTCGACACGAAAAACAATGGGAGGCATAACGAGAAAAGAAGAACAAGAAAAAAACAAAAGAAAAAACAAAGAAACAAAACAAAAAAAAACAAAAGAAAAAACAAAAAAAAAACGGCCACGCGTCCGTCTCTCACGCCCTATCGGGATATCGAACCAACAAGCACCAGATATCCTGGAGCCATTCGGACCTGCACGGGCCGCGCGGATGCTGGCGCCCTGACCAACGGCTTGTTGCTCAGTGGCTGGCTTTCGCGGCCGCTGGCCTGGAGCCCCACACCAATACCCAGCCGTGCAGGCCCGAGCTGTCACCTAATATACGAGCCATCACTGTGCCAGGGCTGCCCATGTACTAGCCAGTGCCCACCCCCATTCACAGAGACACCCCATTCTTTTGGTTTGAGAGGTGCGTGGCAATAAAGAGCCGTGCCGAAAGCAGAAACCAAAAAACAACAACAACAAAAACAAAAAAAACTAAAACAAAAACTAACACAAAAATCCATTCGTCCTTCCTGAATGTCCCGTCAGATGTCCAGTCCACTGAGGCGCACCAACTGGCGCAGGGCCTTCCCCGCATTACGGGCGCGGCCCGGCCCCTAGAGCGCACTTTGAATATACCATCGTTCTTCTCTCCACACCTCGTCTTTTCCACAAAAGACACACTGAATCACAACACAGACCACAATACCGGACCACAATACCGGACCACAACACCGGGCCACAATACTGGACCACGATCCTCAACCAAGCAAACACCACGCCTGCCCCCAGCCAGCGCACATCCATGCTCTCCTTCTCCGAGGTCAGCGCACATAACCTGAAGCAGGATTGCTGGGTGATCATCCATGGAAACGCCTACGACGTGTCGGGCTTTGTTGACGAGCACCCCGGCGGCGCGGCGGTCATTTTGAAGTACGCGGGGAGAGACGCCACAAAGGCGTTTGACCCCGTGCACCCGGGCGACACGTTGACCCGGTACTTGCCTGCAAAGTGCCACCTCGGACCCGTGGACATGACCACCAGGCCCCGAGGCCGGCCGAAGACAACGCCTGAGGGGGCGCCGATGCCAGCGGGGACCCGGCGCTCGCCCGGTGCACAAACGCAAGGCCACCCTGCAGCCGCACACACGGCCCTGCTGGCAGACGGCGCGGGCGCGAATTTCGTGGCCGAGTACGACGTGGAGTACGACGAGCAGGACGGCCAGGACCCGCTCCCGGCTGCGGGCGCCGCCGGCGGGGCGGGCGTTAGCGCGGGTGCAAACGGCGAGCTGACCGGTGCAATCAACGACGCAAACGGAGCAATCAACGACGCAAACGGCACAAGCAATAGCACAAGCACCAGCAACGGCGCCGGCGGCCTTGCCGAGCCCCTCGCCGAACACGGGCAGCGCAGGAAGGCCCTTGTCAAGGCCAAGCCCGCCCTCTCCCAGATGTACAATTTGCACGACTTCGAGTACGTCGCCAAGCACACCATGGAGCCCACCGCGTGGGCGTACTACTCGTCCGGCGCGGACGACGAGACCGCGCTCCGCAACAACCATCTCGCGTACCACCGCATCTTCTTCAACCCCAAGGTGCTTGTCGACGTCTCGCACATCGACACCAGCACCTCCATGTTGGGTGCCAAGACACTGGTGCCCTTCTACATCACGGCCACGGCGCTCGGCAAGTTGGGCCACCCGGACGGCGAGAAGGTGCTCACGCGCGCCGCGGCGCGCCAGGACGTGGTGCAGATGATCCCCACGCTCGCGTCGTGCTCGTTCGACGAGATCGTGGACGCGGCCACCGGCTCGCAGACCCAGTGGTTCCAGCTCTACGTGAACGCGGACCGTGAGATCACGCGCCGCTTGGTGCAGCACGCGGAGCGGCGCGGCGTCAAGGGCCTCTTTGTCACCGTGGACGCGCCGCAGCTCGGCCGCCGCGAGAAGGACATGCGGACCAAGCACGTCGAGGACGTGTCGCACGTGCAAGGCGCCGGCGGGGCCGCGGACCGCACGCAGGGCGCGGCACGCGCCATCTCCTCGTTCATCGACCCGCGCTTGAACTGGGCGGACTTGCGCTGGTTGCGCTCCGTCACGGACTTGCCCATCGTGTTGAAGGGCGTGCAGAGCGTGGCGGACGCGCTCACGGCCGCCGACCACGGCGTCGACGGCATCGTGCTCTCCAACCACGGCGGGCGCCAGCTCGACTCGGTCAGGGCGCCCGTCGAGGTCTTGGCCCAGCTCGCGCCCGTGCTCCGCGCGCGCGGGCTCTTCGGCAAGCTTGCCGTGTTCGTCGACGGCGGCGTGCGGCGCGCCAGCGACGTGTTGAAGGCCGTTGCCCTCGGCGCCACGGGCGTGGGCATCGGCCGCCCGTTCTTGTATGCCATGTCCACGTACGGCGACGCGGGCGTGGAGCGGGCGATCCAGATCTTGAAGGACGAGATGGTGATGAACATGCGCTTGCTTGGGGCACCGCGCATCTGCGACTTGGACAGCTCGTTCGTGGACGTGTCGGCGTTGAGCGCGGCCGCGCCGGACGACCGGCTTTTCAGCGGCGTGTACGAGCCGTTGCAGCCGCCGGAGTTCCGGGCCAAGATCTGAGGGCCCTGGATGGAGAGGAGAGAGAGAAGTGACGGGGTGAACCTACTGGGTGCTGAACATGTGAGTGCTGGGCTGTGGTGACGAGCGGGGCCTGTTCTGGTGGTTTCTTGTGTGGTGATGTCTCGCCAATAACTGCCTGGTGGTTTCTTGTGTGGTGATGTCTTGCCAATAATTGCCTGTGGTTTCTTGTGTGGTGACGTCTTGCCAATAACTGCCTGTGGTTTCTTGTCTGGTGATGTCTTGCCAATAACTGCCTGTGGTTTCTTGTGTGGTGATATCTCGCCAATAACTGCAGGGTGATTACCCTGATAACTACTTGCCTGATGATAACTCGCCTGAGAATGACATCTCAGCTATTATCTTTTGGTCTTTTTTTTTTGGTAACGCTTTGCGTGGCATTATTAAGGTAAGAGTTCCCGGTATTCCTGCAGTATACGGCCATATTTTGTCTTACCTGGTGATGTCCTCCCAGCAATATCTTCCCCACTGACTTCGTGCCTTCCTTGCAGACCCGTCCTTGATCTGCCCGGGCATAAGTTCTCTACGGTGGCACTATCCCGGATTTTCGCCGTTTTTCTCGGCGTCCAGAACAAGAACTGTCCTTGCCAATTTCGTGAGTCCCAGCTCTGCCAGGGCAGGTCCTGGCTTGGAAATTAGCTGCCGCCTGCAGACATGAGACGGGCCGTCTTCTAGACCGCGAGGCGGGCGCTGCGCGGGGCGCGGAGGACGGGCCACGCCAAACATTCTTGAAACAAACTAGACACGGCTCGAAACGCGCCCGGCCGGCAGACTGGAAAACGACAGCGACACAGGCGAGCCCCGCCCACCACCAGTATCCTCGAGCCCGCCATTCCAACAGGAAAAAGGAAAGCCTTCCCCAAACACACCCTCCGCCAGCACATTGATATGCTCGTAGACCCGTAGACGCCGCCGTCCCGCGGCGCAGAGTGGGCCAGATCATATTCCGGCCGCGTCACGTGACCACGCGGTGCCCAGTTTTTCTCTCTTGATTCGCCCCAGGCCTTGTTTACATACACGGGCTTTTCCTCGAGATATCCAACTACAATTCTCTCAATCTGTTTGAGCCGTGACGAAGGATCCGCAGAACTGACCGCCAGCTTGCTCCCGGTAAAAGCCAGTTTTCGTGCCCGAAAAGTCCTGCTTCCGAGGCCACCTTTTTTCCCCCCTCCCTAGCATAGTTCTGCAAAAGACGCGGTTTCGCTCGTGAGATCACTCTTGGCCGAGCCTCCCATCTCTTTTTCTTACGAACTTTGCCCATATACCCCGCCACTTCCGGCCCATACCCCCGCAAAAGTCCTACCCAGCACCATGTCTGCCGTCTACGACGCTGGAACGTATGTAAAAACATTTTAGGTCCTTTTCTCCGGCGATCTCCTACTTTGTTTCCACGGGCTCCATAGGGCATACCAAATACATGAAAGGCCGAGCCAAGTACAGCAATGTCTTGGCTTTTTGTTCATGGAACGGGCCCATTTTTAAACACGCAAGTATACTAACCCCTCTCTAGCCGCTGCTGGTATCCCGACGAGAAACTCGGCTGGATTGGTGTCACGGTCCAGCTGAACACGCAGAAAGACCTGAAACACATCTTGCACTTGGTGGCAGACACTGACGACTCGCAGACGTACACGGTTGAAACCGAGAACCTCAGCGAGGACAACGAGAAGCTACCCCCGTTGCGCAACCCGCCCATTTTGGAGGCTGCTGAGGACTTGACGTCCTTGTCGTACCTAAACGAACCCGCCGTATTGCACGCCATCAAGGTGCGGTACGCCCAGTTGAACATCTACACGTACTCGGGAATTGTGTTGATTGCCACCAACCCGTTCCAGAAAGTAGACCAGCTCTACTCGCAGGAGATCATCCAGGCCTACGCAGGCAAAAGAAGAGGCGAGTTGGACCCTCACTTGTTTGCCATTGCCGAGGACGCATACCGCTGTATGAAGTTGGACCAGAAAAACCAGACGATTGTTGTGAGTGGAGAGTCTGGGGCGGGAAAGACGGTCAGTGCCAAGTACATCATGCGCTACTTCGCCTCTGTGGAGGAGGAACCGGAACTCAAGAACAACGTGGCATCAGACCACAAGGCCGATATGTCTGACGTCGAGAAACAGATCTTGGCCACGAACCCCATCACGGAGGCTTTTGGTAACGCCAAAACCACCAGAAACGACAACTCCTCCAGATTCGGCAAGTACTTGGAGATCTTGTTCGATAAGGAGACGTCCATCATCGGCGCGCGTGTCAGAACCTACTTGTTGGAGAGGTCGCGGTTGGTTTTCCAGCCGAAAAACGAGCGTAACTACCATATCTTCTACCAGATGTTGGCGGGTATGACCGAAGACGAGAAGGCCTCGTTGAGCTTGACCTCTGCAGAAGACTTCAAGTACACGAACCAAGGTGATGCGATCGAGATCCCCAATGTTGATGACAGCAAGGACTTTGCCCTCACAAACGAATCTTTGTCTTTAATCGGCATTGACGCCTCGAAGCAGACTGATATCTACAAGATCTTGGCTGCTTTGTTGCACATTGGTAACATCGAAATCTCTGCCACCAGAAATGATGCCCATTTGTCCGCTGATGAGCCTAACTTAGCCAAGGCTTGCCAGCTACTCGGAATCGACGCTCATGCGTTCAGCAAATGGTGCGTGAAGAAACAAATCACTACCAGATCAGAGAAGATTGTCAGTAACCTCAACCACAAGCAAGCCTTGGTTGCTAGAGATTCCTTTGCCAAGTACATCTATTCTGCTTTGTTTGACTGGCTTGTCGACTACATTAACGCGGACTTGTGCCCTCCAGAGGTTGCTGAAAAGATCAGCTCGTTCATTGGTGTTTTGGATATCTACGGGTTTGAGCATTTTGAGAAGAACTCTTTTGAGCAATTTTGCATCAACTATGCCAACGAAAAGTTGCAGCAAGAATTCAATCAGCATGTTTTCAAGTTGGAGCAGGAAGAATATGTCAAGGAAGAGATCGAATGGTCTTTCATTGATTTCGCAGATAACCAGCCATGCATTAATTTAATCGAGAACAAGTTGGGTATTTTGGCTCTTTTGGACGAGGAATCCAGATTGCCTGCCGGCAATGATGCGTCGTGGATTGAAAAGATGTATCAAAACCTTGACAAACCCCCAACCAATAAAGTCTTCACAAAACCTCGTTTTGGCCAAACCAAATTCGTTGTCAGTCATTATGCACATGATGTGACCTATGACATTGAAGGTTTTATTGAAAAGAATAGAGATACTGTCGGCGAAGGACATTTGGAAGTCTTGAAGAGCACAGATAATGAAATGTTGCAAAGTATTTTGTCTGTTCTCGACAAAAACAACCAGGAACTCGAGAAAGCCAACGCGAACCCATCAGGAAGAAAATCCATTGCTTCGAAAAAACCTACCTTGGGCTCTTTATTCAAGAATTCCTTGATTGAGTTGATGAAGACTATTGATTCTACAAATGCTCACTATATTCGATGCATCAAGCCAAACGAGCAGAAGAAGGCATGGGAGTTCGACTCTTTGATGGTCTTATCGCAATTGAGGGCGTGTGGTGTCTTGGAGACCATCCGAATTTCATGTGCGGGATTTCCCTCAAGATGGACATATGTGGAGTTTGCTGATAGATATCATATTTTGGTTCAGTCTGACGAATGGATAAAGGTCATGAGTGGAGAGACGACACAAGAATCAGTATCAGAACTTTGTGGCAAAATCTTGGACAAGAATATTGATGATCGTTCGAAATACCAATTGGGTAATACGAAGATTTTCTTCAAAGCCGGACTTTTGGCTCAGTTTGAAAAATTGAGATCTGATAAACTCCATAAATCTGCTGTCATGATCCAGAAGAACTTGAGAAGGGTATATTTCCGCAAGCAATATTTGGAGACGCGAAACTCAATCATAGATCTTCAATCTTTGGTACGTGGACATATCAGAAGGTTGTCAATTCAAAGAGAGATCGAGTGCAAAGCGGCTACAAGAATGCAAACAACAATCAGAGGTTTTCTTGCCAGAAAGCAATTCAAAGATGCTCACAACTCTTGTCTCATGTTGCAGAGAGCCATTCGTGGGCTTCAAGCGAGAAGAAACTTTAGGGAATTGCGACTCGAGAAGTCTGCTCTTGTTCTTCAAAGTTCTTACAGGGGTTTGAGTGCAAGACGGTCGTACGTCTCTCAGAGGTCTTCCGCTGTGGTCATCCAGTCATTTATCAGAAGAAAGCTTGCACGTAAGGAATTGCTCCAATTGAGGGAAGACGCCAAATCTGTTAATCACTTACAAGAGGTCTCGTATAAATTGGAAAACAAGGTGATAGAATTGACTCAATCACTCACGGGTAAAATCCAAGACAACAAAAACCTTTTGATGGAGATCACAAACCTCAAAGACTTGTTGGCCCAATCCAGTAACGCGGCGGAAACCTTGAAAGTGAGAGAGGCTGAGTTTAACTCCGTTCTTGGTAATACGAGTGAGGAACACAAGAAAGAAATCGAGAGTTTGAACAGGGAGCTTGAGACTATCAGACAGGAATATAACTCTGCTGAAGTAAAGATAGAGCAGTTGACAGAAGAACACGCTGAGTTGAAGCAATCAGTACAGCGCAACATCGAAGAACTTAACGAAGCCAAGGAGGCCCTTGTCAAACGCGACACGATCGAAGTTGACTTGAAGTCGCATATTGAACAATTGAAATCAGAACTTGCCGCACTCCAAACACAACAGAAACTGATGTCTGTTGCGAAAATGAGAAGTGTGAGTAACAAGCGTCATAGCAGCGCCGCTGGTTGGAATGGGAACCCGTCTATGGAGCAAATGCAGAGACCTGTCTCTGTTATTGCCGTGTCAACAGATGAAATTAGTGATATCGATGATATCAATGATGAGCTTTTCAGATTGTTGAGAGACTCCAGGCAGCTTCACAGGGAAATTGTGGAAGGTTTGTTGAAGGGCTTGAAAATCCCCGCCGCTGGCGTAGCAGCTGACTTGACCAGAAAGGAGGTCTTGTTCCCTGCTAGAATTATTATCATTATTCTTTCTGATATGTGGAGGCTCGGATTGACCAAGGAAAGCGAGGAATTCCTTGGTGAAGTTTTAGCAGCTGTTCAGCTTATTGTTTCTGCGTTGAAAGACGAAGAAGTCGTCCCAAATGGAGCCTTTTGGTTGTCGAATACCCATGAGTTGTACTCTTTTGTGTCGTACGCACAGCAAAGCATCATCGCCAATGATGCTCTTTCGAACACCATGAGTGATCAAGAATTCGAAGAATACCTCAAGCTTGTTGAGGTTGTTAAGGAAGATTTCGAGTCTTTGTCTTACAACATCTACAATATGTGGATGAAGAAAATGGAGAAGGACTTGGAGAAGAAAGCCATTTCTGCTGTTGTGATGTCGCAATCTCTCCCTGGGTTCATGGCCCCAGACAGTTCTCCTTTCTTGACCAAGGTGTTCTCAACTGGTGTGCAATATAAGATGGACGACATCTTGTCTTTTTTCAACTCAGTCTACTGGTCAATGAAATCCTACTTTATCGAGAGTGAAGTGGTGAATGAAGTCATTGTCGAATTGCTCAGATTCGTGGATGCATTGTGTTTCAACGATTTGATCATGAAACGCGGCTTTTTGTCTTGGAAGCGTGGGTTACAAATTAATTATAACGTCACCAGACTTGAGGAGTGGTGTAAAGGACATGACATACAAGAGGGATCGGCATACTTGACTCACATGCTCCAAGCCGCCAAGTTATTACAATTGAGAAAGAACACAGAGGATGACATCGACATCATCTACGAAATTTGCTACTCTTTGAAGCCCATTCAAATCCAGAAGTTGATTTCGCAATATTATGTTGCTGAGTATGAAACACCCATCGCTCCTGATGTTTTGCAAGTGGTCGCAGACAAGGTGAAGAGCACTGATGGGTCAAACGATGATTTGTTTGAAATTATCTCTGCTGATGGTCACTTCAACGACCCTTTCAGAAGTGTTAATCTTCGGCCGTTTTCACGTGTGGAAGCCTATGTTCCTGCGTGGTTGAGCTTGCCGGTCATCAGAAGAATCGTTGAGTTGGTGGCCAAAAACGCTTCCGTTCAAGAATCGGCGCAAGCAGAAGACGGTACCGCAGACATCTAAGCCTGTCAAGGATGGGTTAGTGAGCTTTGCACATCGCAGAGATTAGATAATTATAGTCGCAGGGAATTCGGCAAACTGTAATGGGCAGTAGTTATAAGTTGTTTAATATATAATAGGATTCTATATCTGAGATATTTCACGCATGTTTTCATCTCTTTTTGGCTTTTTCTGCTTCTTCGGCCGTCTTGGTTTTCATTTGCAAAGCGTGCAAGCCCTGATTTTGGAACTCGTCGTCAAGCAACAGATAGATAAGACGATGTCTAGCAGGCATGTTTTTGCCCTGGAATTCTTCGCTCACGACCTCAAGTCTAAAATGAGACTCTTTCACGTTCGATGCATCTTGCATCGGCTGGTGGTGGCTGTGCTTGTGTGAGTCGTTGGCGATTTTCAAAAACGATGGTTTCAAGTTGGCTGAAATCTTGGCAATTATCAGTTCTTCGATGGGGCCTGCGGCCTCAGAAGAGCGGACAATTTGCGTGGCTGATGCAGACATGTTTCTCAATAGAACAGCAGATTTTGTAAATGCACGCAACATAAAGTTATGCTATGTTTTCGTGATGGGGCAACCGGGATTCCGTAGAGGTTTGTATTCGGAACGTGGTTACTGGTGGAACCATCGCGCAATCCCCACGCACAACGCCTGGTTGCGAAATAACTGGGGTGGCTTAAACTCGTGATAGTTTCATGTCTTTCTTTGATAGTGGATTTTTTCTTCAAGCCCTCTTTATTCCAATGATCAATCGCGATATCATAGCAAAAATCTGATTGTATCTGGAACATGCATTTCATTAAGAATTGTACGGTTGTGCAATTTAAACCTGCTTTCAATATATCCTTCTCACGAGCTTTTGGATTTTCTTGAGCTGAAATATGAAGCCAACAAAAGACTTTTTTGAAAATTATATTATTTATTGTGACCTGATTTTTATTCCTTGAAAACAAATGAACCTTTGCACACCACCCTCTGGTGACTGCTCACCTAACGGGTTACGCATGAGCCTTTAATCATTAAATGGCATCAGCTCACTGCAGAACGACCAATGAACACATCAAAACTTCCAGTTCAACTTAAAACTCTTTGAGTTTTCTTTGTGTCCAAGCAAAGACACTCCATCTTAGAGAAGACTATCCGATCCCCTTCATCTCATTCTGACACGCTGGGACTGTTGACCCCTCTTTTCCAACTTCGCCTGTCTTTTACTCTTCGCCAGCTGAGAAGGCTTTTCCTCCGCTGGAACCGGCTGGCCTGGAGCAGACTTATTTCCCATGAATGACCTGGCGATGGTGCTCACTTTGTAAGCCCCGTAGAATGGAATCACTAGGTATAAAAGCCACACCTTGTTGGAGCCAAAAACAAGCATGAGCACGTCACAGAGCCACGTGATGTAGATACAGTAGAACATATACTCAAAGAGGCCGGGACCCTTGATATCATCGCCCGACTTTACGAGTCTCTGGGTCCCCGTGACCAGATCCTTCGAGAACACCGGTCTTCCGCTCTTTTCAAGGACGTACTGACATGCAAAAGCAGGGGTTGAAAACAAAACATACTTCCACTTGCTAGCTGGTCTTTTGAACACGAAAAGTGCAAGTAGCACAAGCACGTTGACCGCGAGCGAAATCACGTGCAATTCCTTCAAGGTATTGGCATTTTTTGCGGCGGTTTTCTTGCTGCTCAGAGACGCCATTTTGAGTTCTGTTGTTGCCGAATGTTCTCGTATAAAATGGCTCTGGAGACGACTTTGCAGACGCATGGTCTAGTACGCGCGACTGCCAACAGCTGGGCGTCCCACGATGTAGTCATGTGACCAGGTGGAGATAACAGACATAATCGTAGCGGCAGAGGATGATGGTTGCAACTTAAGAGAAATTCAGTTCGTAAAACGAAGGAAACTATAGCTATTAATTTTCTGTTGATCTCGAGCTACGCAATGGGAGATGAGAGCTGCACTCGCTGTCACAAGACGAGAATACACGATTCCAGTAATGCAGCTATAGATTCTGAGGCTTAAAGTCTGACAAAATATCAAAGCGTTTGACTGTCACTCGTTCTTCTAAGCGGGCTTATCATGGCTCGAACTTCACGAATCAAGCCTAGACCCACATCAAGAAACCCTGGCCATACCAACAACTAAGCTCTTACCAAGCCCATGATCGACAATTTCGCCACTTTCAATCACTGGCTTTTCTTCTGCGAAGTGATTCTAGGGACCAGCACCATGCCGGCAAATCTCGCAATGCTTGTTCTCACAGGGCCATAGTAGATGGCACGCAATTGCGGCGGCACCATTGCGCTGTTCAACATTGCCCCAACTCTAGCGTCAAGTTGCTCCACGGCCTGCCTAGAATAAGTGGACTCGTCGTAACGCAACTTCAAAAACACCAATACCGCAAGCGACCGGAGGCCAAAAAACAACACATACAGGGGATATCTGAACACCGAGAAAACCAAGCCGGGAAGCCCAAGCGCAATGTCGGAAATCAACATGAACTCGCTGAGAGAGGCAAAATATAATGCCTGGAGATTAAAGTTTGACGCGATATATGTGATCCGGTCGCTGACAGCAGCTTGGGTGTGAATAGACATGGGCATCTGGTTCAAGAGATGTTTCTGAAAGTAGGTGATGGAGTGGAAAAAAGAGTATACAATAAAGGGCATTGTTGCTTTGGTCCAGGGGCTCAATTGACCGCTGGAAAGTAGGAGCACGGCCGCAAAGGCGAAGTATTGCACGTTTTCATTGCGCAAAAGCTGAAGCTTGTTTGCCCGTGGCACCGAAACAGACTGGCGGATCACAATTCCGTAGCTGACCAATTGAAAGATAAGGGTGAGTCTTGAAAATCGCTGGGCCTGTTTTTTGCTGAAGAAGCCAAAGACTTGCCATGAAATGAAGCACACGATACTGGCCGCATGTCCTAAAAACCAGTACAATTGGGGCGATCTTGCCAACTGAGAAGTTTTTTTGGAAGCATTCAGCGAACTTGCTTTTGTTGTTTGATTGCCGGAACGGGCCTCTGGCTTTTGGGGCATTTCAGTGAAGAGAGATAGACTGGTGTATCGTGAGTGCTTTCATTGCAAGCTTGGAGAAGACTGAGGAACTTCCATCGAGCTTATCGTGGCGTCATGTATGCAGTCCGCCTGACTGCTAAGAAACACGGCATACTTTTTTTACATTATACATCCTATTCGAAGTTGCCATATGTGAATGCGTCTGTTCTGAATCGGCGCCATACATTTATACGCCAATGTAATGGGGAAGTGGGTCACTGGCAGGGCTTTTGTCACGTGATACATACATTGACTATTGCGGGCTCTTTTCCACTTGTGGCTCCTTCAAGACAACGAGTAATAACGATGTAACTTCGAGTAAATTAAAGTGTAGAAACCAGGAACGCTACTTTTCTCACCCCACCCAGAGCCCTGTGATCCCGAATCAGCTGTGTCACGTTTCTGATTAACATTAAGTGAACTGCAGCTCATCACCAGGTTTTGGAGGATTTTCTAGACCGAGTCAACTGCCTATCCATATATACAATAGACCCGGAATCCAGGTGCTTCACGTACTGTTTGAGCCCCGATTTTTTGTGCAAATTTAGCGAGCCTGCACAAGCGCCCACTGGAGTAGTAGCGACAAGTGCGATAGGCGGAGTCGGCCTGCGGAGGTCACTCTGTATCTCGAGGTCATTGTGATCCATTGTGTATTAAACCTTTTGATCATCGAAACCTAAATCCCACAGACAAAGAAACCCAAATCTTGTGTTAACCATGGATTTTTGCTTCTTTTTGATCGGATGTATGTGCCAGACAATTTCGGTGAGTCACGCATAAGATACTAACCTTGAAGTCCATGAATCCAACAAGCCTCTCAGCGAAGGCGGCAATGTCGCGTGCTACTGCGGTAGGTGCCACAACCAGCTGGCCTTCGGCATGAAATCGAGCAATTGGGTCACGTTGTTTTTCGTTCCATTGATCCCCTATAGTTTCAAGAAACGTTTGCGGTGTAACATTTGTGGTGCGTCGGCAGACCTAGATGACGAAGGCCTAGCCCGTCTAGAAAGAGGAGAGCCGCTAGCTATTGGAGGATAATGCAGCTGCGTCTCAAAACAAAAGCGCTTTTCTTTATGCTGCCTAAAAATATAAACGGACATATTCTGAATGGAGACACTTTCTTCAACCAAACTATTTATACCTCGCGAACAATCAGCAGTTTGCGCGCTGCCTCACGGCTTCCCCATGGAAATTGGCCTTCTGTATAATGTCTCTCTCGTCCATGGTCAATAGACGTCTGTTCTGGATGACCTGTTTCCCGTTAACCACCACGTTGTCCACATCCGCACCTGTGGCGATGTAGACAACCATAGAAACTGGGTCTCGCATGGGCTGTGCGTAGAGCTTATCTACCAAATTGATGGAGATGAAGTCAGCCTTCTTTCCCACCTCCAAAGATCCTATGTCCAGGTCTTTGCCTAAGGCCCTGGCACCCATGATGGTGGCCATCTCAATCACCGTGCGTGCTGGCACCAACAAGGGGTCCCCATGGATGGCCTTGGGCAAAAGCGAAGCGAGCTTCATTTCTTGCAAAAGATCCATCACGTTGTTGCATGGGCAGCCGTCACACCCAAGCCCCACCGTCACATTTGCTTCTAAAAGCTCTTTCACTCGCGCAACGCCACTCCCTAGCTTGGCATTGGACGTGGGGCAGTGGGCAACAGAGGCGCTCGACTTGCTTAGGATCCCGATATCCGTGTCGTCCAAATGCACCATGTGCGCAAGCACCGTGCGGGGCCCTAACAAGCCAAGCTCCTTGCAATAACTCATAGGCGTGTGTCCCTTGGACGCAAAAAACTCACGGTCCGCCTTGACCTCAGCACAGTGCATGGTGATGCCTATGTTTCTTGCCCTGGCAATTTTCACCATCCGCCGATACAAGTCCTCAGAGACCCCGCCCGGAGTACGGGCCCCAAACCATACTTCAACCCTTCCGTCACCCGCACCGTCATGTTTATCAAAACATTGGACTGCGTGGTCAAGAGACCGTTCGTCCTCCACAAGCCCGGCATGCATGGTGATCCCTTCCTGCGTGGCATAGCGTGGCTGGTCCATGACGACTTTTCCGAGACATCCTCGGATACCGGACTCCACCACTGCGTCCACGGCTCCAGCAAACCCGTAGCGCTCAGCAAACAACGATTCAACGAAAGTCGTGGTTCCAGACTTCAACATCTCTGCAATTGTGAGCTGTGCAGCCACATACCCATCTTCCTCGGTGAAGTTGCCCTGCATGCGCCAGACTCGGTGACACAACCATTCAATGAGAGCCAAGTCGTCTGCTGCGGTTCTAAGAAGAGATTGTGCCAAGTGCACATGTAGCGAGATGAGGCCTGGCATGACGATTTGGCCCCCGAGGTCAAAGATCTCCTCGTCTTTGAACTTCTGCAATATTTCGTCTGCTGGTCCCACGGCTGCAATCCTGTCTGCTTGCACGACGATGGCGCCATTGTCAATGACGTCGAAATTGGAATTGACTGTGATGATTGTTGCGTTGGTATAAATCATGCTAGTTTGGTTATTGGATGCTGGACAGATCTAAGACTGACGCGTTGAAAGCCATGTTTCTTATACCTCTGAAGTGAGCCTGAGAACCGGTATGCCGGTGCCTTCGTGCTGCGAGCGACCCGCGATAAGGCACCAAGATTCGTCGGCGAATCCCGATGCATGATATGCACTCTACGAACAAAAAATGCTTTGCCATTTTTGTACGGAGTGAGGTCACAGTGGAAGAAGAAGGCACTTGCAAATACTACGAATTTGTGAAGACTGCTGCTTGTTTTCCCGACATATCATCAAAGAGCTATGTACATGCGTTACAAGAAGGCGACGATTCCTGAGCCTCACTGGAACAGTTGACATATCTATTGATTTTGTATGCGTCTCCGTGGGACAAGACTCGAATTGTGGTAAAGAAGCTTTATATTTATATGATATCAGGATGTAGTTTTCCTGGGGAATGAACAAGTTGGTCTCGAACCCATAAAATGGACGGAGGAGCGCGAATTAAAAACAGCTCTAAAAATTAATCATGTTCATGATACCGTATCCTACGCTCACAATGATGATGTAGGCAATGAACGAACTTGGTACGCCGCGGGTGATGAACGTGTTGACGGTCAAATATGGTTTCCCAAATTCATCCGTCATACAGATGGCTGTCACGTTAGGAAAGCCCGAAGTAGGCAAGCCCATGGCAGCAGAACAAAGAAGTGCACTAGCCATAATCAACATACGTGGATGAGGATCGCTCATCTTATTGCCGATTTCGGCAACCAACGGGATCACAATAAGCGCAGCTACCGTGTGGCTGACAAATGTAGCCATTGTCAAAATAAGCAAGCCAAATGTCAACGTGACACCGAATAGAGAAAGCCCTTCGACCTCCTTTTCGATGGTGACAGCGATTGTGGCCAACAAGCCTGATGAAGCGACAGCTTTGCCCAATGCAGTTCCACCCATAGCCAAAACAACAATATTCCATGGATAATTGTTGAAATCCTCAGTGGTGAGCAATCCAGTGCCAAAGAACAAGATGATTGGGATAAGGGCAATTATCCCCATTTCTCCAAATACACCCTCCAATTTCGAGGCAAAGCACCACAACAAAATTGTTGAGATAGACACAATCACGATATACCATTGAATACCAGTGAACTTATCGTCCATGGTTCTGATTGGAACAAGTTGCGTGTTTTGCGAGTTGCACTTGAAGGTCATTAACAAGAACAACCAAATACCAACCAATGAAAGTACACAAACAGGAAGAGCAATAACAAACCATTGGCCCCAAGATGGCTGAGGATCCATTGCTCCAATGGCAATCATGTTCTGAGGAGATGCAATTGGAGAAGCCATTCCTCCAACATTGGAGGCCAATGCGATTCCCAAAATCAAAGCATTGATGAACTTGGAATCCTTTGGAAGAGTTCGGAGAAGAGGATGAATCAATGAAAAACAAAGCACGGGCGCAGCAACATTCGAAACCCACATGGATGCAAATAAGGCGATGCTCATGATTGTCAAAAGCACTACTGACGGGTTAGTACCTGCTTTAGACAACACCCATGTGGAAATGAGTTTGGCAATGTTATACTTCGTCAACGAAGCTGCTAACGTAAACCCACCAAGAAGAAGCAAAATAACAGAACTCCACATGGTAGACAAAATGAATTTGGACGAGTCGAGGGTATCCATGGGCGAGCCGTCCGGATATTTCAAAACTCCAAAATTAACAATGAGGAGAGGAATTAATAAAGACGTCACAAAAAGTGGGATTGTCTCCGTTGCCCACAATAACGATGCACATACTAACAATGCAAAACAATTTTTTTGTGGGACGTCGTCAAAGAATGAGATATTAAGCAAGATCACAGTGATACCGACAATGATGGCCAATTTGACTATTGTTGGATTTCTGAATGAGATGTTGAAGGATGATAATCCCAAGGCCGCTTCCTCGTTGTTGTTAGAGTTTTCAGCGCCCATGGAGTTAGCAGCTTGCGTTTTTCTTTCCAAACCGATCATGTCTCTCCAGACAGTGTTACGTTCCCACACAACATGGTCGCGAAGATGAATCGAAAGCTCTGTCTTAGCTATATTGAGATCTTCTTGATTGCAGATAAGAGCGTAGAGTTTGATAAGTGACTCGATTTTCTCATCGACCGTCTTCATGGTAGATTCCTTGAAGATGTAAGTTTGGGGCAATTTTGGCAAGTACTCATTTTTCAAATTTGCGTTGAGCGATTTATCGAATTTTTTCGTGGCTTTCTTAAATCCTGTCTGGTTAAGCTCAATGAAGCTCTTGAGCTCACACAACGTTGTGTAAAGCGCAATCACTTTTTTTCTTAAAAGCACTCTGGATTCGGAAAGAAGAGCAAGTTGTGGGGGAAGCGACGTGCCGTCGAAATTGGTTGTCCATGCAGAGAAATTAGGTGATTTCAAGTACTCGTCTATCGACTTCGTTTTCATCAACTTTGGCAGGTGCTGGTCGTGCTCGGGGCCTCGGTATTTTGTCCCAGAGCTATCACCATAATCTTCCTCTCCAATAGCATCTTCGCCGTCTTCATTCTCATCTTGTGTGAATTCTGTCTCTGGGTCTGTGGTATTAGGTATTGGATCCTCGTACAAGCTCGCGGCACTTTTACTACGTGCTCTTCCAAGTCCACTCGACCCATCGTCACTTGTACGGAACCGCCTCAAGCCAAATCTTTGAAAAGCGGAATTTCCAAAGTCAGAAGACTCCATTTCATTCTCAAACGCATCGATATCCGCGACCAAGTCGTCGATGTTCTTATATATGAATTCTTCCTGCTTGCGGAAGAAAACGTCGATTTTGTGTAGTTCACTGTCCAAAGCAGTGGTAAACACCACGACAGGGTCTCTGTTGGAAGAAGCCTCGCTGTTTATAAGATGTGCTGATTCGAGATCCTCATTTTGGTGCCGTAACGACTCTCTCTGCAAGTTGTAAATGAGCTTTTTCAATGTCGTATAAGATATGTACTTTGAAGACCATTCTGGTACAGCGTTGAACTGTAGCGAATGCGAGAACTTCATGGCAGGCTCTCACAGTGAAGTTCTGTGGCAGATTTCTGGTGGTGTGAGTTCTCTATCTCTTGGCAACTGGCTGGTTTGCACACGTCCCAAGCCCCTCGTAAGTTGGGGTCCCCTGGATCAGATGCGCGCTTGCGGGTTCCCCAATTTCGTAATTAAAAAGATTGGTAGAGTCCATATGGCAGACAAGGAGTATTTCCAAGCATTCGAAAACAAATATTAATTGAATACAGGCCATCTTCCTCATATTTATGCCGTGGCTGTGCCTATGACTGGGACACCGGACAAGGTGAAAATAAGTGATCAAAATACGTTCGATGTGCCCACCAGTAAGAACCCGTTGCAGAACCGACCTTGAAAATTGTAGTTACTAGCAAATTGCTGACACGTTTTTGAATAATGGTGTTTTCAGTTGTCTTGTAGGAGATTTATATTCGAGCTTCCATCCCAATGTTGCACAACGCAATTTCACATGGACAACTCATTTTTAAAACGTGGATACTTCGTACATAGAAGCAAATTTCAGTCCTAACCTTTTTTCGCAACCAATTATGATGTGTAAAAATAAAGAAAGGAAGTAGAGAAATCACATTGATAAAATGATGCCGCCTAAGACGGAAATCCACAAATTTCCACGTGTGTGCATATTCGCAATTCTCCCAGACTGTTTTAGTTGTATGACAAACGCAGAACCCAAAGCAGTGTCTTTAACGTTTCGAACTGCCGTAGCGAGTTGCCTGCTTCCCCTATTTTTTCCGGTCTGCTCAGAGTTTCTCTTTAGTCTGCGCGAACATTTCCTGCAGAGTACGCGATGCACAGGTTTGGGAGAACCGTGCCGAAGGTGGGGTACCGGCCCGCCAGTATCTCTACCGGTCACGGCCCGTATTTGCAGTATGGATTTCCTTACCATCATCGACAAGTACAGATTGCCCGCGACACCAGCCCAGATTGTTGCGATAGAATCGAACAGTGATATCATTTTAAGAACGCTCCGCCGAATTCTCCAGAGGAAACCTGTCGTCGCTGCACTTATTGCTGCCTCACTATCGTGCTATATATTATTGCCCTCGCTACCAAAGACCAGACTTTCAGCTGACAAAACCATGTTTTCAAAAAGACCCGACAAGCACACAACGGGCCTCATAAATATGAGGAACGACTGCTTTGCCAACTCCACTGTACAGGCATACTCGGCTTTGCCTGGGTTGACCGTTTACTTGAACCGAATGATGGAGGCATACATCAACGTTTTGGAGCTAGTCGCTGACGTTGACGCCGATTTGGATGACATTATCTTGCCGGAAAATATCGTCAAGTTGTCTCGTTCAAAAGAGATTAAGCATGACCAAGCCCCTAAAAAGGCTTTTGACCTATTCAAACTCACGTTGCACGTTGCCTTGGCGAAAATCGTCAAGAAGCTACAGGAGACCCAGATGACATCTAGAACCGTCTCCGTGTGGACCTTCCTTCATGAGATTGAAAGAATTTATAATGCCAAGATATCCCGGTCTCAGCACGATGCCCACGAGTTGACCCAGCTTATCAACGAGACCCTCGAAGCTGAGAATATTCTATGTGTTCGGATTTTGAAACACATCAGAGAAACGCTTTCCGCCAAGGGCCATATCTCGCCTGCCCTTGAGCAAGCTGAATTTCCGGAATTTCCGTTTGGCGGCTTGGTGCTCTCGCAGATGAAGTGTTTGGCATGCTCTCATGTATCAAAGCCCAATATCTCTCCGTTTTTGATGATGACTCTCCACCCGCCGCAGGAAACCAGCACGAAACTTGAGACATTGCTTGACGAAAACGAGGCCGAAACCATTACTGAATACCACTGTTTGAAATGCAGGTTGCTCAGAATCATTGCGAACGAAAAGTGCTTGAAAGATCTAGGGAAACTGAACCCCGAGTCAGAAGAAGCTTTGGTCAGAGAGTTGATTTCGCTCAATGACGAAAACCGCTTATTTATTAATGAGGACTTGAGGAAAGACCTCGAGAAGTACGTGGACTCATACAACAAACTTGGGTTGGACATACTGAAAGTGCACTCTACGGTATTTCGTCAATGCCACATTCTCAAGCCACCCAAACTTTTTGGCATCCACTTGTCCCGCTCTGCATTTGATGGTGTCACGCTTAGTCGGAATCCATGTCGCGTCCACTTCAGCGACAAGATCTCGTTATCTATTGATGAGAAATTTCTTGAGGACTTGCAGAAGTTTCAAAGTAGTTCTGATGATGAGGCTTTCGCTCCTGTTCTGGAGCATGGAGTCTTGACTACAGATGTGAACGATATGGAGGACGAAAACGTCCAGCAAGAGGACGTCGATCTCAAGGGGGACGAGGGAGAAGAAACAGACAATTTGGAGAGCTCTGATGCAGACACACAGACACAGAGTGATTCTGACTCCGACTCCGAATCGGTTTCTCTCTCTCTGGTGGAGGATGCTGCGGAGTCTGTGAGAACAGAGGTGAAAGGAGACACACTCAACCGCGCCCCAATCTCAGAAGACCAGCAACAGAGCTTGATCAAGCATTTCAGCAGATTTGAGTTTAGCGAGAACAACATCTACAAATACCGGCTCAAGGCCATCATCAAGCACCAAGGGTCCCACACTCAGGGCCATTACGAATGCTACAGGAGAAAGCCGCTCTTTGTTAAAGACGGGGAGGGGAAAATTGTCAAGTTGTCCCCCGAGATTGATGAAGAGCTACTCATGCAAGTGGACAAAGTTGGTGGAGGATCAGGCGACCATTTCAACAAAGAGAGAACAACATCAATGTCCACCGTCGATCTGCAAGACACTTTGGATAGTGAGAAAGGCGCGTTCAGACGTAAGTTTTCAATGATCATGGGCCGCCGCCCGTCCATTCTACAGGCCGATCCCCACGAGGCCAATCTACAGGAAATTATCAACTCCGGACTTGCTACTCCTGCCGAGGTTATGGTGGATGGCGGGAATTACTTCCTGGCACCTAGTGCCCTGGATATCCAGAAACTGATGGACAAGATAGCCCGTGATCAGAAGCCGTCTCGGGTGTCCAGAGTCAAGATGAAGAAGATCCCCTCGCTAATCAAAAGCCCGTTCTGGCGGGTTGGCGACTCGCACGTCACTGAGGCGACAAAATCTGCCGTTCTTTTTGAAACCACGAGTGTCTACATGCTCTACTTCGAGAGGGTCGACAGGAAACAATTATAGACATATATGCAGTACAGAGTCACGTGCCCCGATATTGTTACTTGCGGAAGTGAACCAAAAGGTCTTTGTCAAGGCCACTTCTTTCAAGTATGTTTCCTAGCCCAAACTCTTCACAAAGAGCGCCGAGCGGGACATCCACCCTCGGCGTCCCGTCCAGAAATGCTGGCAGAAACAAAGTGGCGCTAGCCCCCGGCCATTCACCATTGGACTGGGCCTCGCTTACATCGAAAACCCCACGGCACAAACTTCGTGGGGTCAGCCCCAACACCCCGCCTGCCCCATACGTGCAAGTTCCTGCCAGCGAGCTCAAAACGCACAAGTCCCAAGACGACTGCTGGACATGCATAAACGGAAAAGTCTACAACATTACTCCATACATTGATTTCCACCCAGGAGGAGTAGAGGAAATCATGAAGTGTGCCGGGCGTGATGGGACTGCTTTATTTAACAAGTACCACAGCTGGGTCAACCCAGAACGTTTATTGGAAAGCTGTATGATTGGAATCTTGGTGCGTTGAGGTGTTGGCTACTCTTGCATTCCCCGCCCGACAATGACGTGGTTCATTGTCCAGTCATGTGGTTCAATGGGGACGTTCTCCGCTAGTTGTTCGGCGAGACACACGCCCATCAAGTAGGGGACGCGGTCGAATTTCGCTTGAAAATCGTGAAGAAATTTGTCATAGTAGCCGGCCCCATGACCAAGCCGGTTACCCAGAAGTGTGAATGCAACCCCCGGTACAATAATGAGGTCGAGATTCCCTGTTTCCATTGCGTCCTCTCCTTGTGCAGGCTCTCGAAGCTTGTACTTTCCAGCTGGTTGGAGTGCGTTCACCTCGTCCAATGTTTTCACGTTAAGAAATGTCATGCTATTGCCCAGACTACTCGGCGGCAGGCATTTTGGAAGAAAAACCGTTTTCTCGTGGTCGAAACAGTATCTCAAGATTGGGCCAGTGCTTGTTTCGACTCTTGGCATGCTCATAAACAATGCCACGGATTTGGCGTTTCGAAACTCCTGGTGTTTAATCAAGGCATCGAAGACACTCTGTGACTGTTCGGCGAGGCGTGCTTCGCTCAAATGACTAAGTTTGGTTTTGATGGCTTTTCTGAGGTCGTTCTTAGCCAATCTAGACATTCCAGGACTACAAATTGCTATTACAGATATGCCTTCGAGTCGAACTGACTCTGACCCGCGGTGTTCATGGCAGTCGCATCACGTGCACATGTGCACCAGAAGTCACTTAGATAGATTATACATCCAAAAACAGGACGGACTTGAGTAAATAGAATAGAGCTGATTTGTAATTGACATACTTGGGTAATATATGCTACTGTGTAGCAGCTCGATGTCTAGGGGGTGACTTTGACAACCTTCTCATCAAACCGCACTGATTTGCGGCGCTCGCCGTTGTAATCCACGGGGATTTCAAGCTCGTTGCCGCTGCCCAATTCCTTCTCGGTCTGCTCAAGCAAGTTCTTGATTTCAGATCTATCTTTTTGCAGGCCCGCGCTGCTGGACTTTCGCCTTTGCTGAGTTTTGAGGTCATCTTTACATTTAGGGCACTTGCAAAGAAACCCCCAGTTGACTCTAAGCTCTCTCTGCCTCTGTTGCACCGTGTGCGAAGGATTCACATATGTGGTGGTGAGCTCCTCGCCCACCTTGATGTCACGAGCGGCATGAACGCGGAGTCCCTCGTACTTCTTCACGGACGTGTCGACGCTAGTGTTGGGATCACAGACATGGTTTAGATGAGACTGAATGAGGAACACACTGGAGTCGAGGTTGTTGATGTTGTAGGTACCCATCATGTGCAAAAACTCGTCGTAATGGAGCTCTTGCGGCGATGCCGAAGGAAACACATTCGCAAACAAGTTGAAGCCTTCTTCCCACAACTTTTCCTGCTGCTCTTCGACAAACAAAGCTCCTCCCTGGAGCGAGTCGAATGCACCGGCCGAGGAGTTGAGTGCTTTGTACCTCACCTTCTGGGAGACGCGAGCCATGGCTTTGAACTGCTTGGCCTTCACGCCAGTTTTGTCGAGAAGGCATTGGGCATATATGAGGGTAATCGCATACAAAGCATTCCACTGCTCCTTGACGCAGTACTCGGTCAAAGCGTGGAAAGCTTCCGGGTTGATGAGCCTTCTGGTCGCACGGCCACCGTGCTTGAGGGAGGAGTGCACCACCTGGTTTGCCACTTTGCAAGTCAGCGAGCACCAGATTTCGGGACAGGTGTTACAGTCCAACCCCTGAAGCACGGAGGTGCGCGAGAGCGCGCGGGACGGGTCGTTGCCCATCTTGCCACAGTTGGTGCACGCCTTCCCCAGAAGAATGAGCTCGTAATGAGCCAACAGGGGCACGAGGAACAACGGCGTTTCCTCCCAGATCAATTCGCCGTTGGCAATTGGTTTCTTCGCGTACAAACCTTTCCCTCGTTTGGAAGTCATCACCAAATTGACCTTTTCCGGTAGCGTGGCGTCCGGAGTGACCTGGGACGTGATGTCGCTGGCGTACGTGAACGGCGCAGAGTCGACAGAGGGAGAGAGACCGAAGTTCTTGAGCAAGGTCTTCATTCTTTTCTCGGAAAGCGTCCAGTTGGGATGCCTGGCCTTGACGAGAGCGTGGAGCCTGCCTGCCCCCAAGGACTCGGTGGAGGAGTCTTCTTTCCATAGGGCGATCACAGCATCGACAACCTGTCTCTCGTGCGGCACCATCGGGCTGGCGACGTCGTCCTCAGTATCGTTGATCTTCACGACCTCGATTCTGGCGCCGAGGTCGGCGGCGGTTTCGGGAGCTGGCATTTCTGTGGGACGGGGAGAAGGCAGGGTCTGGGGCCGGATCTGGCTAGCCAGGACCCACGCGGGCACGCACGTTTTTCGGCGGGCGCTCACGTGACCCGCGGGCAGCCGGCAGGCGCTAGAAAAGCGCCCAGCGGCTCGCCTGTTCCTGGCTATGGCGGTGGGACGCCCGCCCCGTGTGTCTGAGTGTCGCGTGCGCCTCGACCAAAACGGCGCCGTTTTCCGCTTCGATCGTGCTCTTGTAGACCGCGGGCCGGTCCGGGCCCGGCGCCGGCACTTGTTCCGTGCGCAAGACGAAAAACTGGTCGGCAAACGCCGGGCGGCGGTACGAGATCGCGAGGCTCTCGACCTTGTAGTCGTCCTTCAAGAAGCCCGCGGCGTCATGGCGCAACGAGGCGTTCCGCTTGAAGGTCTCGTTGAGCAACGTGGCCAACATGCCGCCATGCACGATGAACGGGTACCCGCACAAGCGGTAGCCCATGTGGACAATGGTCACGGTGTCGTTGGTGCTGCGGTTGTGGAAGATCACGGGCGGCACAGCGATCCCGCCGGGCTGCGCGAGCGTGTGGCTGGTCAAGTGCTGCGCCGCGTACGCCGCCTCGCTTTTCACGGCGGCGGCGGCGGTGTTCCCCAGCCTCACGTACGCCCCGGACGCCGCGCTGTTGTCAAGCGCGTTGCGGTCCAAGTTCTCGTACGACTTCATCATCACCCAGTCGTCGCCAGCGCTGGTGTTCGCCAACTGCTGGTAGACGGGCAACGTCTTGAGCCGGTACTCGAGCTGGATGGGGAGGAGCCCGCTCGGATCGACCTCCGTGGCCCGCGCGTAGGCGTCGAAGATCCACTCGCTGTAGGCCAAGTACGCGCCGGCGGCGCCGAAGCCCACGATGGTTTTCCAGTTCCAGAAGGGCGGCCGGTAGGGCCTGAACCGGATCTCGAAGCCGCGCGGGCGCTGCGATTCCGGGCGCGTGGCGTGGCCCCTGCAGCGAAGAGGCGGGGTCTTGGCGAGGAGACGGCGGGGCAACATGAGCGGGGTGTTTGTGCGGACAAGGGGCGTTTGACGGGGTGGACTGGTTGGGCCCGCGAAGCGTTGGAGGAAGGCCGTCTTGCTAGGGCCCGCGGGCATTGATGCGCGCGCTGCGCCAATTGGGCCGGCCCTAATAAAGCCACGGCAGACGGGCACGGCCCGGCGCGTTTCCGTAGCACTGGCGGCGTGGAGACTGCTTTTTTCTATTATTATTTTTTTAATGGGGCCCCAAGGCGCTGGGGATTTCGAAAAACACGCCGGCTGCTTCCAAGCTGCAGGACGGACCCCCGAGGCAAGGACCAGGCATGGCGGCCCTGGCGCTCCGCCCGCACGCTGCTGGCGCGCATACAGACAGTTACCCACCGTTGCCATCTTCGCGCCCCAATAACCACAGGGCCCGGCGACGGGACCCGGCCTTGACTGGGTGCGTGGTCGTGGGGGCCCCGCCCGAAAAAACAAGGCGACTATGTATAAAATATATCCTGTTAACTGACGTTTATTGAATACAAATGAATATAATCAAGAGAACCTCGAATAATACCATTCGCTAAATGTATTATTTGTTGGGGTTTTATTCAACCAAATATATTTAGACATTCCTATATCTTTATTAGGTTTTCTCGATATGAATCCAGCTTTAGCTAATTTGGATGTTAGTATATCCATAGGAGCATTGAAAATTATAAAATCGGAATTACGTTTAATACCCGCCAATTACCAAGGCCCCACCGGGCGAGCCCGCGACACGGCTAATGACCAAGGCGCGGCTCAGTGAAGAATGCGCGCGGCGTGGTACTGCTCCCCCGCCACCGGCCCTATGTATGCGCGGTCGCCAAACCCACCGACCATAAAGACGTCGCTCACCACGACCTTGGCCCAGTGCGCTTGGTGCGGCGAGCGCTTGTTCAGCGGGAGCCACCGCTCCGCGTCCGGGTGTCTTTCTAGAAAACACCTCTCCAACTTGGCTAGGGCCTCGGGACTGGCGCCGACCGCCACGAGCTCGCCCTGGAGAGTGAGCCGCGGCGACCCTGCGGGCGAAGACGCCACGCCCCCGGGGTAGCGGGTGTCCACGTGCTCCTGTGCCGGGTGGTCGCCGGCTCGAATCGTAAAAGAGTACGGAGAGCCGCGCGCAATGTTTTTTGCGGGGGTGCCGATGTCGAGGACTAGCCAGTAAGGATCGCCGTCGCCGTCGCAGTCGGCATAGTACTCCATGGAGGAGACGGGGAGCCCGTTTTGGGCCGTGCCGGCGTCCCGGCCCTGCCGTTGTTGGATCGTGTTGACGTTCATCAACAGCTCCCTGTTCACGAGGGTGCGGGCGACTTGCGCGCCGTCCGCCACGCCGGGCCACGCCTGGGCCTGGTCCTTCGGGGCCTCGAAGTGCTCCTGGATGCTTGCGGCGGACACGAGCGAGGCCCAGCAGACGTGTGTCAATGAGAATCTCATGGTGGGGGCAAAGTGTCGAAACGCGCGGGCTAGCACAACCAAACAGTGCACCCAGAATCTGATGACAGGTGCGCGGTAGCTGGGGCCGGGCGAGGGCCGCGTTGCTGCGCCCGCACCCAAGCGACGGGTGTTCTAATATGTAGGGGCAGTCTAGCAATAAGCAGTATACACGCCGTCCCCGGCCTTCGCGAGCGGGCGCCCATCTAATTGGCCCCAGTCGGTGCGCCAGGGCCACGGAGCCAAGGCGCGAGCACCCGGATACCCAGGCCTCTATACAACCTCACGCGCTTCTCTGCAAGAGCGTGGTTTTCGACCCACAACGGGCAGATTCAAACGAGCAGATCCAAACGAGCAGATCCAAACGGGCAGATCTATACGGGTGGATCCAAACGGATAGATCCATACGGATAGATCCAAACGGATAGATCCTAACGGGTGGATCCAAACGGGTGGATCCTAACGAGCAGATCCAAACGGATAGATCCAAACGGATAGATCCAAACGGATAGATCCAAACGGATAGATCCAAACGGATAGATCCAAACGGATAGATCCAAACGGATAGATCCAAACGGATAGATCCAAACGGATAGATCCAAACGGATAGATCCAAACGGATAGATCCAAACGGACATGAGATCCACGGAACGGCGGGCATCCTCGGCGCAAGGCCCGCCCGCCAGAGTCCACAACGCAACAAGAAATGAAGATGCCGTCGCACGGCCAGTTCAGACGGCCGAGCTAGATCTCAATGTCCCCCACGACATCGTCAGTCAACGCGTCGTCCTCCTCGTCTGCGCCCATGGACGCGTCGTCCATGTTTTCATCGTAGTCGTCGTGGTAGGCGCTGTCCTCACTTGCAGCGCGCTGCCTCCTGGCGCCGCGGGAGTCCATGCCTACCGGCGGCGTGGCCGTTCTGGCGATTTGCAGATGGTGCCCCCTGGTGATGGCGGTCAAGTAAAGGAAGCACACGCGCTTCTTCTTCTTGTTGTAGATGAACCAGTAGTTGGACCATAGCGTCTGGAAAGGGTGGTGCAAGTCCTCCAATATCGACTGGTCCGAGGGCTGGAACTCGTATATCTTGCACGCGGTGTCGGCCGCGAGAAACGCCGGGTCCATGGGCCCCGGCGAGCCCGCGTGGGGCTGGTTGAAGCTGTTCTTGCGGGAGCCCGCGCCGCCCTGCGCCGCCAACGAGGGCGAGCGCGAGGGGACGAGGTCCATGTAGGCGTTGATGGTGTCCCAGACCCAGCTGAGCAAGTCCTCCTTCTTGCCGAGCGAGACCATGATGCTGTTGAAGCGGTGCCGCAAGCTCTCGGCAGAGTCGACGCGGTAGAAGTTCTCGGTGGAGGGCTGCAAGTTGGAGAAGTCGTGGTCCGGGTACGTCGTGTTCAAGATGGCGATGAGGTACGCGAACGTCTTCCTGGTGGCCGTGTTGCGCAACGGCCCGAAGGGCGACTCGTCAATGGCGGACTCCTCGCCGTTGTCCTCTAGACTGGGCGCGGCGAGTTTGCGGCAGACGGGCGCCTTGCCGTCGGCCAAGGTGCCGTCGGACTTGTGGAACGAGGCCAGGTGGTCGCTGAAGGACGCGGGCCGGTCGAACAGCTCGGGCTGGAGACTGCCGCGCCTCCAGAAGTGCGGCTGCTGCGGCGAGGCGCTGGAGCCGAGGAGCGAGTGCACGGACTGCTTGCGCTCCCTGTCGAGCGACTGCGACAATAGCTGGTCCTCCATGATCTGGTCCAAGTGCTTGTCGATGGTCTTGAACAACTTGCGGTCGGAGCCGATGGCCTTGGTGGTGAAGAGGTCGCACCCACCCTTGATGGTGAGGTTGTTGTCGGGCGAGTGGAAGTTGAGCTCCTGGTTGACCAACTCGATGTCGACCTCGTCGATGAACTTCATGGCGCGGTGTGGGCGGCGGCGGCAGGGGAGGGTGGTGCCGGTAGCGGAGGGTGGTGCTGGTAGTGGAGTGGGGTGGGCGTTGACCAGCAATGGTGTGGGCGTCCTAGTACTGGAACAAAGTAGGCGTCTTGGTGGGATGGAGGGGGCGTTCTAGTCTGAGAAAGCACGGGCGTCTTTGTACTGAAGAAAGCCCTGGATGTCTTTGCACTGGAATAGAGCACGGGCGGGTGTCGTTGCAATGGATCCCCACCAGGGCCGGCGGCCAGGTGATATTCGTCGATAGCGCGGGCCCGGCGCACGTGCCGATCACGTGCGCGGCGCCGCGAGGCCCGTCTGGCTTATCTCGAATTCGGCAGTCGCAGCGCCGAGCGCCAGGGCCAGCACCGCCCGCGCGAACCGGCGCACGCGGGGGCCCAGCCCGCCCGGGGCCTCCGCGCCAGGCCCGCCCTGGTACGTCTTCCAGAGGAGAATGCGGTGCGTGGCGAGCTTGGTCCAGGTGTAGCCCAACGCCGGCACCACTTTGGGGGGCCGCGGCGCCTGCTCGGGGCCGGGCGCCGTGTGAGCGTGCCCGGCGGCCGCGGCCGTATATTTTGGGCCGGCGGCCGTGGGGTGCTGGCTGGTGTTGGCGGGGGCCGTGGGGTGTTGGCCAGCGCTGGCCGGGGGCAGGCCGCGCGCACTGGCCCCGGCCCCCCCGCTGGCCCCGGCCCCCGCAACCGCGCGCCCCGCGCCCCAGCCCAGGAACGCACCGAGCTGGAAATCGTAGGCCAACGGGCCCGCGCCCGCCGCGCCGCGCCCCGCGTCCGCCGCGTCCATCACGTCGCTCACCTGGTTGGCGAGCACCACCGCGACATTGTAGGCCCGCGCCAACGCCCCCAAGTGGCGGTACATCGTGTACAAGTAGTGTTGCCTGGCCGCGCGGCTGCGGAAGCGCGCGCCGCCCTGGAGGAAGCGGCCCGTGACGCCGGCAAACCGGGCCTTGTGCTGGCCATACGCCGGCACGTGCGCGAGCCGCCGCTCCTGCCAGGCCACGTGCCCGCGGAGGAACTGCAGCGTGTCGAGGCACGCGTCCTCGGCCCGCAAGTGGTGGCCCACGCTGTCGACAAACACCGCGGCAGTGGCCACGCCGCGGCGCCGGTTCTCCTCGAGCTTGAGCCGGAGCTGCGTGAACAAAATGTGGTCCTGCGTCTCGAGGTCCGGGCAGTAGATGTACGCCACCCGTTCGAGCGCGCCCGCCCCGCCGAAGTCGCTAAGCCGTCGGCTCGCGAGCGGCGCCTCCGTGGAGATGTAGATACACGCGGTGGGGTTTGTGTCGTTGCGTGCGGTGGGGTTTGTGTCGTTGCGTGCGGTGGGATTTGCGTGGTTGTGTGCGGTGTTATTTGCGTGGTTGTTTGTGTGGTTGTGTGCGGCATTTGCGGTTTCGGGTGCGGTGGGATTTGCAATTTCATTTACGGTGTGGTGTGTGGTTTGGTGTGTGGTTTGGTGTGTGGTTTGGTGTGCGGTTCCGTGGCCGTGCTCGCCGCCGCGCTGGGCCTGGACGGCCAACGCGAGGAGGAACTGAGACTTGCCGCTGCCGCTGGCGCCAAACACCTCGGTGATCTGGCCCAACGGCACGCCGCCCCGCAAGCCGCGGTCGAGGCCAGCGAGCCCCGTGGGGATGGACGCGCGGCCCACGCCGGGCGGGCGGGTCGCGAGCCGGGCGCCAAAGAGACGCCGGGCGCTGCCCACCAACCGTAGCACTTCCTCGGGCGGGACGCCTGCCCGAGCGCCGAGCGACTCGGCGGTGTGCCGGCTGCAGCCGCGCGAGAGGCGGATGAGGTCGACCAGCGAAAGCCCGAGCCGGGCCAGGAGCCGCTCGACGTCGAACACCCCGTCGTTTCGGGGCGCGAGGGGGAGTTCGGGGTATTGCTTGGAGAGGTCCATTGCGGACTGGAGAAGGCGCCGGGCGCTCCGCGCGGCGAAAAAAGTGCGCGGGCCCCGTCGGGCACGTGCCGCCGCTCTACGGAGCGGGCTAGGGAGGTGCTGTATTCTATGTACCGGATGGACACGCGGCGCCGGAAATGAAGAACCGCGGCGGCGGGCCTGATGGGCGCCGGAAATGAAAAACCACTTGTCGGGCCTGGTGGGCGCCGGAAATGAAAACCACTTGTCCACGCGCCTAGTGGGCGCCGGAAATGAAAAACCACTTGTCCACAGACTTGTCGATGGGCGCGGCGGGGAGGGGAGACGCCGCGGGCACCTCCGCGGCCTCGGAGAACGAGGCGGTGGAGCTCAAGGTGCTGTTGGTCAAGTCGATCTCGCCTGGCGCGGTCGAGCCCTTGATCAACTTGTCCCAGGCCTCGGCGCATTCGGCCACAACCTCGTCCGCGTACTTCTTGTTCTTGCACTCGCCGGAAAAGGCAAACTGGTTCTCGGGCTTGCCGTCGGGGATCTTGTAGATCCGGAACCACTCATTGGTGGCCCTCAACAAGCCGGGCAAGTGGGTCTCGACGTCCTCGATGTCGTTCAACTTGGGCGCCAAGGGGTCGTTGACGTCAATGACAATCACCTTCCAGTCGGTCTCGCCCTCGTCCAACAAGGCCATGACTCCCAACACCTTGACCTGCTTGACCTGCCCGACCTCGGCAACCTGCTCGCCAATCTCACACACGTCCAAAGGATCGTCGTCTCCCTTGGCCTTGGTCTCGGGGTGGACCTGGTTGGGGTCCTCCCAGGTTTGAGGGAAGGCACCGTAGTTGTGGATGTAGCCGTGGTGAGGGAAACAGTTTCTCACAAACCTCAACTTGCCCTTCTTGGTGTCCTGGATGATGGGGTTCAACTTCTGTTCTTTGGAGATCTCCAACTTGGCGTTGGTCCATCTGGGGACCTCCACGATCATGTTGAGAATGGTCTTCTCCTTGTTGGCGTACAAGGGGATGTCGTGGAAGGGCGACACGACCTTGCCATCTTTCTCGATGTAGACCTTGTAGTCCAAAGTGTTGGCGGCACCAATTTGACGGGTGGTGTAAGACATTGTGTTTGTTCTGGAAGCAGGGGGGCAGGAGCTCGTCCACCGGGGGTTTTCGGGCCTTTTTATTTGTTGGGTGTGCACACTGCCGAATCACGTTTTGTTGCATACTTCGTGTGCGACCTTTTTCCACATGTATGTGTTGAGGTCCTCGTCCCGCGAGGAATCGCTCATCACATTGAGCTCCGCCTTCTTGCCTAGGAGCATTCCCCGGGTGAGCTCTCTTTTGAGAAGCCTCAAACTCTCAGCTTCAGCGCCTAGCTCGGCTTGGAACCCGGAGACTTCCTTGAGAAAATTCATCATGAGCTTCCACTCTTTGGCCGCGATGGTCAAGTGGCCGCGCAGATGCTCGAGGAGATATGTGCCGGCGAAAACCACTTTCGAATCCGGGCCACCGGCACCTCGCATGTACGTCCACCAAATACGTAGTCCGTAAACATCTGAATCGACAAACACTAGGATAGGCGCGTGGGGAAAGGTGTTCTCCAACGCACTAAGAAAGCGCACACTGGCCCGATCGGGGTTCCCCTTGCCCGTGAGCATAATTATCTTCTGCGGAGTCGGTACATGGCGCAAATATCCGCTAAACGACTTGAAAACAGCCTCCTTTTCCAAAACAACTATCGCCCCAATGTTATCTGTGCAGTGCATGCTTTCAGGTATCGAGGTAGGAATCAACACACTCTCTCCATCGTAGTTCAAGTTAATGTCGGCACCTCCTTGCAGCTCAAGTCGGATGTGCGGGCCACCGTACACAAGACCCTTGGGCGACGGAAACACTTTCAAGTCCCGCTCAAGAGAATACCCCAAAGAAGAAGCTATCAATCTCAAAGACTCGTTCAGCCGATACTGGCTCCCTTGGAACGCAGACACATCTCTATAATAGATGTCGCGGAGGGTTGTTGTGCTTTGTCGTCGGAGGTTTTGCGTCACAAGTCGGAGGGCAGTCAACACGGCGGTAAATCTGCTCGCTTGTGACTCGGTCTCGGAAAACTCACGGAGAAGCACAAATACACCACTTCTGGGTCTTGATGCTCTAATGGAAACCCCGTATGTCTTCAAGACTAGTTCGTGTTCATCTCGGCTTGCTAGAAGCATCTCGCTCCATAGCTCTTCAAGAACCAAGAGTGGCGGGCGGCTGCTGTGAAGTTAGTACGTATGGCTGCAAATAAAGGCCTCTAGCTCAACACTAGTGGACCGTTTTGGATATGATGAAACGTAATACTTTTGCTGGAGAAGTGGGATGATGTACTGAGACATCGCTGGCACCTCTAACTTTGATGACTCGGGGTCTTTTGGCCTCGCCTGTTCGATTGCTTTCAATCGCAAATTGAACCTCATTGGACTACGTGCTGCAAGAACCAAAAGCACGGGGCAGAAAAGTGTACTTGGTTTAGTGGGATATTTTCTTTTGCGTTGATCAGTTGAGTCCTGGCTGAATTGTAACGAGATTTGTGGTCCCGACTTTTTTTTATGTTTCTCTCCTCAATGCTTTAACAGTTTCCGGGGTGTTGTGGGCGGCGCGCTCCCAATTATTTCGTGGAAGTGAGATAAACGTTGCATCTGAGACTACGACTACTGAGGTCAATAATATTGGGAAGGGTACAAACGAATAAGACCGATGGAAATGAAGAAGTGTAAATGGATGATGTGTCAGTCATTTGAAGACGCGTTCGATTTCAAAAAATGCCGAAAGCTATTAGTCCAACCAAACTATAGGTCAAACCAAACTATAGAATAAACCAAGGCGAGCCTTGTATGCCCACCAACAAGGCATTTCAGATAGTTTCAAGCCCTGCTTCGCCATTTGGGATAAACGACATTCCTCCCTTCCTAGACGCGCAGGGATAATGCGAAGTGAGGCGCTGGGTGTCTCAGGCTAAATGCATGGGGGCTGCGCGCACGAGGCTAGACTGAGGCAATCACCGAGGCACCTGGTCTAGACAGGGCAAAACATTTGGAGAAAAAAAGAGAGGAAGAGAAGAAAAAAACCAACGGAACAGACACCTCAAAGTGGAATTGGACATCGGAAACAAGACGGACGCTGTCGCTTTTGTTTTCCCCCACCAATGTGAGTCCGGTGACATCCTCCCCGAGACGGTAGCATTATATACTTGGCCTATATGCACACGTGGTCCTGCACGCTTAGCATTTTGCGCATGGGGCCAACCCCGGAGAAGATCATGCGTCAACATTCTGGAGTGCTCCCCAGGCGTCTTCGACAGTGCTTTACTTTTACATCTTTCACTAGTTTCTGTGCTTGCCAAAACAGAACCATACCTTTGAATTCCTTCATTGCGCTGCGGCCAGCCACGACAGAACCCTCTTCTTTTTGGATCCAAATTTCGCGTCACGCCAAGAACAACGCTGCACTCAAGATGCCAAATATACATAGCGTCGAGCACCATCTCAATCGGAGATACTTCTATGCCAGCGACTGGTCCGGCGGTGCCCGATGGGCATTTTTTGCCATCTTCATTGCCATCATTGTGATCTGCGTCATAGGTACAATCCGAGTCAATAAGAAAAGAAGCCGACAGGGCATCCAGCCAATCTACGGCACACGGTGGATGACGCCTCCGTCGTATTTCCAGTCTCAGGACCAGTACAACCAGCCAGCACGGGGAGATGCAGATATACCCACTGCGTATGTGCCCACATATACGGAGCAGGCGAACGCTAACGATATGGGCTACTATGCACCAGACGGCACGTTCTACCCGAACCCCAATTCTAAGGGCCCGATTTTCCCCGAGTCGGCTCACCACAGGACAACCTCCAACGCCGACGGGCAGCCGCTTCTGCAATTTGACCAAAATGGAGTCAGGGTCTTTTCCGACGAAATGACAGAAGATTTCACGCGACCCACAGGCCCGCCTTCGGGCATGACTGGTATAAGCAGGGACGACACAGCTCCAAGCTCTGTGGACATTTACGAAAGACCAGGCCATCCTCCTCCAGGCGCCCGCTAGAGTAGACGGCATATGAGACTTTACCATTGATTGAGCTGACGGGATGCAGCTCTTGAGACGTCATGTCCAAGAGTGTTCTGTGGTTGTGGCTAGTGAACTGTTGTGACTAGTGAAGTGAATGGCTGTGATCTGCTGCTTCACGAAAATACTGCAGAAGGCTGTGAATTTATTTGCGAAGCGGGGCGATTTCATCTGCGAGCCATGATTCCGACGGAAACTCTGTTTGGTGTATATTTTGGTGGAGGCTCTGCTGGTGGAGATTTGATTGAAAAAGTACCCCACGCAGGTGGAGACTCAATCTGGTGGAGACTCAATCTGGTGGAGACTCAATCTGGTGGAGACTCAATCTGGTGGGGACCCTATCTGGTGGAGACTCAGTTGCTGGGAGCCTCAATTTCCGCGAGGTTTAATTTTTGCGTGGACTTAATTTATGCGTAGAGTTAATTTAGCAAATACCCAATTAGATGGAACTTCATTTGGATACCCAGTTAGATGGAGACTTAATTAAGTAAACACCAAATCCGATGAAGACTTCATTTTTGTGGAGACTCAGTGCAGCACGTGTGACCCTCCCTTGCTTCGCCTGATTTCGTAAAATATGATTGGTGTTCGTAGTCTTATCAAAGGACGTCAGGTGCAAGCTCGGAGCCCGAACATACCGGGAGAACGGAACTGGGTGGCCCGAGTCACATCCTTCGAAACTCAGGACAGCTTAGCTCCCACAATGTGCAGCATCAAACCTCTCGGGCCAGATCCCGAATATTTGTACGAAATCAGCTTGTATGTCTGAACGACGAACGGCTGTTGGGTGCATGGTGCGGCTCACATCGCAGGACGTATGATTCCAGTTCTAATATTCCCAAGCACGTCATATTGTGTCTCCCTCGCATCCTTACAATAATTGTAGCAAGCTGGTCACTCTTCCAAAGGTCGAGAAGAGCAGGCGCAAAGAGCAACTATCGCCAACGGTGAAACTCATTAGCCTTATCGGAAGTTGGGGTACACTCGTGTCGGCCTACCATTTCCGCACTCAGCCCCGTACGGAGTGTGATTATAAATCTGAGTCCAAAAATGCTCAGAGCCGCTGCCATGATAGTGAAGGTCATCGTTTGGTGTTCTGTGGCCCACAACGCTCGTATATGAAATTACGACATCTACTTTGCCAATTGATTGCCTATACACCATGCATGACAAACGTCACGCCTGCGGGAACATGTAACACCCCCGTGCCACGACAAGAGAGCCGTCCAAATAGCCTGCAGATCTAGTTTTCAATGAAAGGCACCACGAAATCACTCCGAAATGCCAATCTTTGGAGGTTTGCAGTGGCGCCGGATATTCGGCTTGTCGCCGCACTCCGGGCACAGCCCACTCTTCCTGCAGGACCGCATCGTATCCCTGAATGTAGCAAGCGCGAGCGAGGCTCGGGCAGGGAAAAACCCATCCATCACGACATCCAAAACCACCTGCTTTGCCACCTGACTTTCGGTGCACGTGCCTGGCCTATAAATCCAGACCCCCATTTCCCTTCCCCACATCCCCGGGATTTCGAAGCCACTTATATTCCTCACGTTTCGTTACAACACACAGCAACAGTAACATCAAAATGCCAGCTTTGCACGATATCCACCACAAGCTTTTAGCCAAGAGGTACTACTATGGGCTGACGTCCAGTGGCGCCCGATGGGCATACTTTGCCATAGTCGCCGTGGCTCTAGTGTTGCTCATAGCCTCCATTATTTTGGTCAATCGGAAAAGAGGCCGCCGAGGCGCCAAGCCCATTCAAGGAACACAATGGATGACGCCTCCTTCCTACTATCAATCGCAGACGTACTACAACCAGCCGACGCGCAGAGACCCAAACATGCCCAGCACTTACGTGCCTCAGTATACGGAGACCGCTAATGCGGGCGACATGGGCTACTATGCCCCAGACGGGACTTTCCATCCCAGGTCCAGTAAAGACGGGCCGGAGTTTCCTGAAAACGCCCACCAAAGAACCACGGCCAACTCCGACGGCCAGCCAATCCAAGCCTTTGACCAAACAGGCACAAGGGTGGTGGCAGATGAAGACATAGACGATTTCACGCGGCCCGTGGGCCCGCCTCCGGGCTCGTCCGGAATTGACGGCGACACGACCTCATCCAATTCGAAAGAGGTGGAGAGACCAGACCATCCCCCGCCATCTATGCGTTAAGATGGCAATTGGCGGTGAGCGGAGAGGACGGGCGAGACTTTAATTATAGGACACAGTATATACGATTTGTATGCAATTTCTAAGCCGGGCTTGACTCCGACTGAAATAACGAGAACCAGGCAGTCTGCCGGAACGCCTTGCGACGGACGCCGGACCAGATTGCGGCGCACTTGCAAAGGTGTTTCAAGCCTGAATGTGTTTTTGTTCTATTCTTAATTTTTTTTTTTTTTCTGGTGAGGAAAAGACGCTGTTCGTGGTCCTTGGGCTTCTCGGCCTTCAGAGTTGCTTTCGAAGGGTCTGGCTCTCTACATGGAAGGGGCTCTTTACCGGTAACATGTGCGTTCGTATGGACGAGATCACTCGAATACCCATTCGCGTCTTCCCAGAGCAAGCTTTCAAAAAGTCACATGACCGCCACTCGCCCTAACACGGATGGTTCGTACCAGTCGAGAACATTGCAAGAGTGTATAGGCAAAGCACATGTGGAAACCACTGTCACCAGGGCTGCATGGCTCTGGCTACGCGAAAAGCCATGGTCCCCGTGGCAACGGAAAAAGCCGCAATACACCTCAAGTCGTGCCAAGAAATACGGGTGCCAAGCACCAAATCTCGAATATATGGGTGGAAAAGATTGGCGTCCGCAGACTGCCCCCAGTCTCCGATGCAGCAAATCCTAACATTTAATATCGTGGGTTATTGTTTTACCCAGACCCTCGCGATGACGTGTTCCTCCTGCTTCTATACTCCTGCACACGGAGCGTGCGCGCAACTCAGTCCCCAACCTCCAGCATCAGGCAAGCGGCTGACCCTTGCAGATGCCTTCTCACAAAGGACTTTTCTTCTCATGCCGCACCGGTCCCGTGCTTATATGCAGTGCAGGATGTTTCCACCGCGCGTTATTGCTGCCATCGCATCTACGCAGCGCAGGTCCGGGACTTTATAAAACAAGCGGATTCTCACGCCCCCGCGAGTTGTTTTCTCTTCCGCAACTGCGTCGCTTGCCTAGTCCCTTCAATTAACTATGGCGACCACCGAATCCAATTCGTCGACTTCGGCGTCGCAATTGTTGTCGTCGTTGATCCCGAATTTGATCATCTTTGCCGTGTTTATGCTCATCTTCCTCTTAATCAGGAAGAAAAACTCCCGAGTGTACGAACCTCGTAACACCGTCAAGACGGTGCCCAAAGATTTGCAGCCCGAGGAGAGTCCCAAGGGTGCTTTTGCGTGGGTCACGGCTTTGTTCAAAAAACCCCAATCGTACTTGATTCAACAGACCGGGCCCGACGGCTACTTTTTCCTCCGGTACTTGCTTGAGTTCTGCTTCGTCTGTCTCCTTGGTTGCTTTATTACTTGGCCGGTGCTATTCCCTGTGGACGCCACAAACTCCAACGGAAACCAACAATTGGACATGCTCACCTACGGAAATGTCAAGGATAAGTGGAGATACTTTGCTCATGTGTTCATCTCGTGGTTATTCTTTGGCGCGGTACTTTTTGTCATTTACCGCGAGTTGGTCTACTATACCACTTTCAGACATGCTTTACAAACCACGCCTATATACGACTCCTTGTTGTCGTCGAGAACTTTGCTTTTGACCGAGATCCCCACCGCCGCATTGGAGGAGCTTACCCTCAGAGAGTACTTCCCAACCGCCACCAACTTGTGGTATGCCCGGGATTACAAGGAGCTCAAGGAAAAGGTCAAGGAAAGAACCAAGTTGGCCAAGAAGTACGAGGGTGCCTTGAATGGCTCTATCATCAAGGCCAACAAATTGCGTTTGAAATGCGAAAAGAAAGGCGAGCCTGTGCCCGAGCCGGTCGATGATTTGGATAAGTACTTGAAAGATGGCAAAAAGAGACCAACGCACAAGTTGAAGTTCCTCATTGGCAAGAAGGTCGACACTTTGAACTACGGTGTGGAGAGATTGGGCGAGTTGAACCGTGAAATCGAGAAGGAGCAATCGCAGCACAACGCCAGACCCCAACATCCCTCTGTCTTCATCGAGTTCCCTACCCAGCTTGAAATGCAAAAGGCTTACCAGGCTCTTCCCTATCACAAGGAACTCAAAAAGGCTGGCAAACACGTTGGCTTGGCTCCTGAAGATGTGATTTGGGAAAATCTTGCGTTGACCACTACAAAGAGAAGAGTAAAGAAGATCATTGCCTCTACCGTCTTGACCTTGACCATTATCTTTTGGTCTATTCCTGTGGCTATTGTGGGTGCCATTTCCAACATCAATTTCATTATTGAGAAACTTCCATTCTTGGATTTCATCAACAATATGCCTACGGCCTTGTTGGGTATCATCACCTCTTTGTTGCCAACTGTTGCTTTGGCCATCTTAATGTCGTTGGTACCTCCTTTCATCAAGAAGATGGGTAAGATCAGCGGTTGCATCACCATTCAGCAGGTCGAGAAATACTGTCAAAATTGGTACTACGCTTTCCAAGCTGTCAATTCCTTTTTGGTTGTCACTCTTGCCTCGGCCGCTGTTAGCTCCATTCAGACCATTATCGAAGACCCAACTTCGGCATTGACTCTCTTGGCAGAGAAGTTGCCAAAGGCATCGAACTTCTACATCTCGTACCTCTGTTTGTACGGATTAACCTTCTCGTCTGGTGCCATTTTGCAGATTGTCGCCTTGATTTTGTCCAAAATTCTTGGTAGAATCTTGGACAAGACGCCAAGATCTAAATGGAACCGTGCCACCACCTTGCGCCAACCATTTTTCTCAGTTCTCTACCCAGCTTTCCAATTTGTGGCGTTGATTGCCATTTGTTATGCAATCATTGCCCCGCTTATCTTGGGATTCGCCACTATCACATTCTTGTTGATTTTCATCGCGTTCATGTACAATTTGATCCACGTGATGAGACCAAACACTACAGATGCTCGTGGTAGAAACTACCCGTTGGCCATGTTCCAAATGTTTGTTGCTATCTATTTGTCTGAAGTTTTGTTGGTTGCCTTGTTTGTGTTTGGTAAAAACTGGGCGTGTGTCGTTCTTGAGGCCGTGTTTATTGCCTTCACTGTTGCTTGCCATCTTTACTTCAAGTGGAAGTTTATTCCGTTATTCGAGGCTGTTCCTATCTCGGCCCTCAAGTATGCTGCCGGTGACCGTACATTCCAGTACCCTATGCACGATCAAGGATTGAAGGAGATTAAGACTGAAGGTGAGAACTACTGGCAAGGTGGAAACCAACTTGGCTTGACCAACCAGAAAGACCAGGTCGTGCCTGAAATATCTGCTCTGGCTGAAACCACCGAGTTGCCTGCTCACGACGAAACGGACATCAATACTGCTGTTACTGAAGAGAAGCTGGTGGGCGCTGACCCCGAAGACTCCGACAGCACCCCATGTATGCAACAGAAGTCTAAAACAAAGTCCACTATTGGAGGCACTATCAAGAGATTTTTCCGTCCGAAAAGAAACACTTTTGACATGGTGCGTGAGTCGATGCCTGATGCATACTTCAACTATATTCAGTACAACCCTGATTTCGTCAGAACTGCGTACGAGGATCCCGCTGTGAATGACGAGGAGCCACATATCTGGGTAGTCAAGGACTCCATGGGCTTGTCTGAAATTGAGAAGAACAAAGCCCTCGAAAATGGCGTCGACTGCTCTGATGCTGACGCATGTTTCGATGACAAAGGAAAGACACAATACCTTGGCCCTCCACCTTCTTACGAGGAGTCAATTAAGGTCTAAAATCATGACATTTCCTCTTTTTTTCTACCACTTTGACACTTGAAATATCAAGCGCTTGCTATAATATGAATCATCAAATTTTTTATTGAGAAATCTAAATAATATTCGTGCAGACTGACTTGTAGCACCAAGAGCTGACCCACCTTTACTTCTTTGTTTGGAAATCTACTATTTCCTCCACCACACCCTCTTCTGCACTGGAAGTGACTTCGAGAACTTCTTCTTCGGCGCCAAACGTCCCCTTCCAGCCTTGGGCGACCAAATAATTCTTGAATCTCACGTCTTCTTCCAACAAATCATCATCCTTCAATTGTGGAATAAAGAAGAAGGCCACAAGTACACCTGCAAGGCCACAAATGGCAGCGATGATAAAGGTCCATTTTTTCCCCAAGTTATCTTGAATTGGCACAAATGTCTTTGTTCCAACAACTGCACCAACTTTACCAATAGCGGCAGAAAACCCATAAAGCGTGCCTCTGATCGGAGTGGCAAAAGACTCGGACGAGACTAAACCCATCATGTCACCAGGACCCAAGTTTCCCATTGACATCATCAAGCCGTAAAAGACGATAAACAACGGCGTAATGTTGGAAACCTTGTCGAAAGCCAAGCCGATGATAAGACCAAAAACAATGTACCCCGCAAACCCAGTCATCAATGTGTTTCTTCTACCGAGTTTGTCACAGAGAAAGGCGCCCACCAAAACACCAGGAATCGCAATCATACCCAACAACAAGTTCCACTCAGCAACCTTCTCAAGATCGCTGCCCTCGCTCCCTGGCAAAACGGAAGAAATGATCGTGGCAGAGAAAATACCGTTAGGATAGGTGACAAAGTCATACAAGAACCAACAAAGACAAGTTCCCAACAATCTCTTCCAGTAGTACTTCAAAGAAAGCCAGTAAGGAACGTCTTTCCTGATGGCAGACTTCTTGAACAACTCGGACGTGGCCATCTTGAATCTGAAATAGAATACAGATAATGGCCAAAAGGCACCAATTGCAAAGAGGGTTCTCCATAAGGCATCGGAAAGACCAGTTATTTGCCACACTATCAAGAAAATGATCAATGCAAAGGGACCACCGAATGATAAGGGTAAGTTTGTTACCAAAACAAACACCCCGCCTCTTCTCTTGAATGCTTCGTTGGCAGCCTCGTTGGCCGAAACAGAGCACGACGGGTACTCGGCACCAATACCAAAGCCTGTGACTCCTCTGAAAATAGTCAACATCCAGAACATTCCGTTGATGGTCGCCCCATGAGAGGCTGCACACATCACAGTTCCAAAAACAAGGAAACACGTGGCGATGATGATAGACTGTTTTCTGTTCAACCTGTCGGCCAAGACACCGATAATGACCTGTCCAAAAATGGTTCCAACTAATGAGGCATTTGACACACGTGTCTTGACGTCCGAGGTATATTCGTCAGGATACAATCCGGCAAAAACCGTGTTCAACATCGTCATGACATTATTCTGGTAGCCGTCAGAGATTAGAGCAAAACCTGAAGCCAAGACTGTGAAGATCTGAAAGGCACTTCTTTTCAGGTATCTGCCCAACCGGGCTTCAGCGTCATATTGAAAACGACCTGGAGGACTGGTCTTGCCGACCGAAGAGAGGGAGTCCAGCATTGGTAGAACAGGGTATTAGCTGCAAATAAAAGCCCTTCAAGAGACTCGAAGTATGGGAGACTAGATAGACGAACGAAAAAAGCACACGGTTTGAAATTTTGTTGGGGCTGCTTTACCCGGTTTATATACGTACGAGCCTATGAACGTGACTGAGACGAAAGTCCCTTCACAGTCTATTGGGCCATGAATCAGCCCCGCCTGCGTTTGGAGCCCGCACGGCGGATGGTGCAGGGTGTGCATACGGTCATCAATCTTCTGGTGGATCGTGCGCTGAATGAAGAGACAACCGATTGTGCCGTTCCCACGTGCCCTCTACCTCATGTATATAGTAAATAGTTGTACGTCGTTTTTCACGGCTAAGTTGTTAGTAGACTATTTCACGCTCGGCAAAAAGTGACACATTTCTTTGGGTATTCTTGGCTCTAGGTTTTTGACCCCACTGAGGGATAAGGTTTATGGATGATTCGCGGAGGACATTAAGTTTGACTTGTTGCCACCGGTATCTTGGGGATCCCTTTTGGCCTTCCCCTCCAGCCTGAAATGAATGTGAATGCACACTTTGAATCTTAGGCTACGGTGCCCCTACAACACGTGGGTGAAAGATGTCTCGCGCGATTAAAAATCCAGGTCTCAGCCTCGACCAATTTGGCGCGTTATATGACATTGCTGTCAACGATGACTGCGAAGTATTGACCCATAGATATGGTAGTTCTCCATTTACCGTGGCGCATTCTGAACAGCTAGACCATTATTGTCATAAGCAGTGAAGGGGTATATGACACAAATATTATTATTTTTCCCTTCCTTTCTCGTTGGTGGACTATTGTGAATCCTCCTCTTGTCTTATGTACATAGCAACTCGCATGCGGCTCTAAGACATCGTGCCGCCTCCTCAAAGGGCCACGTTTTTTATTGTCCGTGCGACAATCGCATAATCTACACGGGCGAATTATTGCCGCACGAGTCAAGATCACTGTTCACGGGCCTTAATTTTTTTTAAAAGAAAAGAAGCACAAGAGTGTCATTACTGCGCCCTAGGAAGCGAGCCCACATAAATAACACTCGGTTAAGGACCTGGTGTATTGCCGACTTGCGAAGAAACAGAACTCAGCATTATGCGAGGCTATCGTAGCGATAACTCAGAACAATGTATAACCCCGGGACTACGGCAGACTGTAGGTTTGAAACCCCTCTGATTAAAATACCTTATTACCAAGATGTACCCCGCAGATCCCCAAGTCATCGTTGTTTTAAGCTGGGTTTGATCCTCGGGAATCCCACGGCTGATCTGGAAGAAAAAACTTATTGCAAGACAACCTTGCCCTGTTTCGCATGAAAATTTTGCCTGGGATCACCGTCCCCCGACCGCGTGACTGTATCGTAAATAGCAGTCTAATCGCGAAAGTTGGATGGTTTGTATAGATGTACTTGCAGATGAATTTTGACCACACTTTTGAATAATGGGTGAAATCAATTAGACGTTTTTTGCCTCTAGATTTACGAAGCATTTTTCATGGCCTTGCTTTCGTACCCACCGCATGATATGTCCAACGTGTGAACGTGGAGTGAAGCTGTGCTTGGTCGATGTCTCCCATTGTTCTGACCTCTATGCGTATCCTTCTTAAAAAGACTATAATTGATGTCCATATGATTAATGCAAGCGTCGGGTGAAAAGAACAGTATTATGGAATTGACTAGTTTTTGACCATAATTTGATAAATCATCGAGCTTTTTATGTCTTTTCCTTTACCAGCCCCTCGAACAATCAAAAATAATGAATTCTGGGACTTCAAAACCCTAAAGAACCGCTGGATCACAAATGGGCTGCACGTAGTGTCAACTTTCAGACTGTATTGATAATGAGTGTGCCGTGGAAACGAACCGAAGACCCTCACACCAAGCCACTTCCATTCGTGAAAAAAATACAGCCAGACTTTTTTGCTCTATTAACGAATGTGCAGATACTTTGCTCTCTTGTTATCTCTATGTTCGACAAATCACACACATTGAGTCTGGATCATCGTCACGTGATTTGATTATGAGCTGAACTTGAGATTTGTCTAATATGACGTTCACATGTCGGAGAACCTGGAGCCCGGATACTTTCGAAGTTCGGGCAATTCGAAGATTACGTGGTATTGAATGTAAGAACAATTGGATTATGTACATGAAATTTCCTCTTGCTAAAAATTTGAGCCCGAGAGAAGCAGACATATCACTTATAATTAACTGGGGCCTTATGCAAGACGAAGACCAGAAAAAGTTTATTATTGAGCATCCCAACGTGCGAGATTCGATAGCCTTATAGCAGAATTTCAACGCAGCGGACATCTAGTAAATGAGAGAAAAGCCGAACAATTCAAAGCAGCAATATTTAAGCAAACTCAGACAGCGAAATCCCATCTATTCCAAATTTCTTGCTCTAAAAATTGGATATGGCCATGTATAATCAAGCAAATTTAGACGCAGCTTTGCTTGCGGCTTGACCTGATTGGTCGAACTTCAGCGGGCCCACTCCACGACCCCACTCTCCGCACATTCTTCGGCATATAGGTACTCCGGATACCTGAGGAACATGTATCAGGTGAAAAAATCATCTGACTCATAGCAGATTAGTCACGCTTTTTTTTGGATCCGACTATATAATCCTCCCAATTAACCCCCGCATCCGTTCTTGGAAAATATCTTCACCTCCAAACATCATGCCTTTCCTCCAAGACCCGTCAGTTAAGTACGACGCCTTTCCCCCAATAAAATTAACCAACCGACAATGGCCTGACCGCACATTGGAGAAAGCGCCACGATGGCTCTCAACCGACTTGAGAGATGGAAACCAGTCGCTTCCTGACCCCATGTCTTTTGAGGAAAAGAAGGCATATTTTCAAAAGCTCGTGCAAATTGGCTACAAGGAAATTGAAGTTGCATTTCCTTCCGCCTCTCAAGTGGACTTTGACTTCACGAGGTACGCTGTGGAAAATGCTCCAGATGACGTCAGCATCCAGGTCTTATCCGCTTGTAGAGAGGAGCTTATCAGAAGAACGGTCGACTCCCTCCAAGGCGCAAAAAGAGCCACAGTTCACATCTACTTGGCCACATCTGACTGTTTCAGGAATGTTGTTTTTGGGTTAACGCAGGACCAGTGTCAGGCTTTGGCTGTCAAATGCACAAAGCTTGTGAGAGAACTCACAAAGGACGCTCCAAATCCCCACGGAACGGTGTGGGATTTTGAGTTCTCGCCAGAGACGTTTTCAGACACGGATTTGTCGTTTGCACTCAAGGTCTGTGAAGCCGTGAAGGAAGCCTGGGGCCCTACGGAGGAAAATCCAATCATCTTCAACTTGCCGGCAACTGTGGAGATGTCCACTCCCAACGTGTATGCTGATCAAATCGAGTATTTCTCCACGCATATCAGCGAGAGGGAAAAGGTTTGTATTTCTCTTCATCCCCACAATGACAGAGGCTGTGCTGTGGCAGCTGCGGAGATGGGACAGCTCGCAGGTGCAGACAGAATTGAAGGATGTCTTTTCGGAAACGGAGAAAGAACAGGAAACGTTGATTTGGTGACTTTGGGCCTTAATTTATACTCGCAAGGTGTCAGCCCCAAGATTGATTTCTCAAACATCAACGACATCATCGACATTGTGGAAAGATGCAACAAAATCCCTATCCCAGAAAGAGCTCCATATGGCGGCTCTCTCGTGGTCTGTGCTTTCTCAGGGTCCCATCAAGATGCAATCAAGAAAGGCTTTGAGCAGTATGGTAAGAAACAGGCTGCAGCTAACGGCAAGACCGTCAAGTGGAAATTGCCTTACTTGCCAATCGACCCAGAAGATATTGGAAGGACATATGAGGCAATTATCAGAATCAATTCGCAGTCCGGAAAGGGTGGCTCTGCATGGGTTATTTTGAAGAATCTCGAACTTGATCTCCCTAAGGGTTTGCAAGTCGATTTTTCTAAATCCGTACAGCGCCAAGCTGAGGTCAAGGGCCAAGAATTGACAAACCTGGAACTCTGCGACTTGTTCAAGGCTCAATACTTCATCGCACATGAAGAAAAGGATGATTCAAGCTCTTTCCACTATAATTTGGTCGATTACTCTCTCACGAACGCTACTAGTGGAGTGAGAACCATAGAAGTGGACCTTACTGTTGGGAATGAGCTTAAAAAGATCTGCGGAACTGGTAATGGTCCCATTTCGGCGTTCTCAAGCGCAATCAAAACCGGCTTGGGTGTGGCCATCGACGTCAAACACTACCATGAGCACTCGCTTGGTGATGGCTCCAACTCGAAAGCCGCTACTTACATCGAAGCACAATTAGAAGACGGATCCACGAAATGGGGTGTAGGTATCCACGAGGATGTATCGCAGGCCTCATTTATTTCTTTGCTCTCGATCATGAACAGTCTACACAGGGACCTGAAGTAAGTATTATTACATAGGATCGCAATTGTATTTGTGACGGGGAGGCCAGCCTTCATAATGCATACCCAAACACTCAACAAAATCTGGCAGCTTCCATTCTCTCTACCACCAATGGTTTCTGTGTGTACTGTACATAAGGGAAGCATGCCATGTAACGGAGTCTGGTGTCATTTCGCCATAAACAAAAAACACTAAGATAAAAATATCCAATATGACCCAAGAGAACGTGAGCTTAGCTGAAGCATACGAGAGTATCGCTAATGCCGAAAAGCAAGCTTCGCTTCTCGAAAAAATGCTTGACAATTTGGACAGCAAAATGGACAGCATTCTCGACGAAATCGAAAACAATAGAACTGAAATCAAGGAGACCGAAAAAAAACAAGCAGATACAGACAAGCAAACTTAGATAGCCAATATTTAGAAATGGACATTATCATTATGAGGCAGGTTGTTCCGAAGCCCTCACTATTTCCCACAACGACTCTCTTTTGATAAACATTGGCGCCGAGGTTTCCTCAAAAGGATTAATGGGAGCCTGAGGATTGAAAATGAGATCGGAGCCCGGCTCACTCCCATTTGTTTCAAGTTCTTTTATACTGACCTTTGCTGATTTCCCCGGTTTGAGCCACCATTTAGATTCGTCAGAACTAGGTGGCGGTATGGCTTTCTCCCAGACGTCTGTCACATACTTTGTGACATCTCCTGCAGTAAGAAGAAAGTTTATGTCGCCCACAACCTCTGTATAGCTTTCATAAATTTCTTGAGAAATGTCTTTCTTGGCTCTTTCATCCACGACCTCAACAGACGCAGTGAAGATGGAGAATACTGGTCTATGATCTGAAAATACGATATTTTCCTCGCAGTCGTATACTTCCTGTTCCAACATTTTGTTTCTCGAGAGGCTCAATATGCGATCAGTCCACGCAGGCACACGCTGCTTCTCCGACGTATCGTACTCTCTTGTGTTGTTATCAAATTTGTAAGTCGGAGGAAATGTGATTTCCTTCTCATCAAAGAATGGGAAACTTTCTCCGTCAGCCATTTGCTTGTTTAGCTGGTCGTATTCGAAAAGCTTTTGAAAGTCCCGAACATTAATTAAATGCTTGACCTCGTCGATCGGCAAATCGATTCGGAAGTTAAAGTCACCCAACCAAATAACAAAATCATGATCCCTTACTTTCTTGTGCTTAAAGAATACGATTCCTTTCGAGATCGTTTTGTAGTTCTGGTGTCTTTCCTCTACATTGCTGTGACCAGCAGCCAAATGTGAACAAATAAGACATATCAGCGAGGTGGAGTAATCAAAGCTCACAGCAATCCCTCCTTTATTGGCGCTCATACCACCAAGTCCTGTCTTTTTTATAGACCCTTCGATACTCGAAATGTATCCAAGCTGACTCTCTTTGATAAATAGAAACATTGCGATTCCACCCATCTGCCAGCCCCATAAAGAAGCATACTTTTCCCTGCTTGGGTTGTGTTCATTCAAAATTCTTTTGAGGATATGTTCCCAGTTGTTGAAGTTATCAGACTTCACTGAGATCATCTTCCCAGGAGTGAGTTCAACGATCTCTTGAAACCCTATGAATACAAGATCGTAATTTTGGTCAACCCCGTGCCTTGAGGGGTATATTAGCTCTTTCAAGTCCTCGTCACTATACACGGTGCCGTTAACGTTGAAAGTTGCCGTGAAGATCTTGATTTTCTGGCGCGACGTGAATTCTTGAGCCCGCTCTTTCAATTTCAAGTTCACGTACTGGTGGAAAGGGTTGTATAGAACAACGCCCTTCTGGTCTTGCAAACGACCGAGCAACTTGAGCATGGCCAGCTCGCTTGCCTTTGGGTCACGCATGACATTGAAATATTTCTTTGTCAATTGTTCTTTGATCATGCGCTTTGTGGACAGAGACTTCACTTTGCTTCTCGAAGACATATATGCATGAGTGATGCTTTTAAGCACCTCGTCGTTTTCGGACCATAGCTGCGCGTGCTGCTGTAAAAGGTCCACCGGGACTGAGATGCCCATGTCTCTGAAAGCTAGGTTAATCACCTCCTGGCTGATGATTTTAGACACGAAATTGGCCTTGGTCAAGCAGTCGAACGAGTTGACTCTGAACACACCCAACTGCTTCCCGACGTAGGTGCGTCTCTTGACATCGAAGAACAAGGCGCCGAAGTCGACTATCGACTCGGTAATGGGATTCACCACGTCTTTCGGGTTGACGGCCGAGTACCCGATTTTGCGTACGTAGGAGAGTGAGAGAGGCATGGACGTGAAGCTGACCTTGGCGTTGTGGATGGCCACCTTGTGCTCCTCCGCGAGCTCCTCCCTATCTAGAAGCAGGCTCTCCTTGTACTGGACGTACTCGTCGAAGTGCTTCCTGTAGTTTTCGCCAAGCTCGCCCTTGTATGACGACCTGTCTTGCAGAAGACAGTTGATGACATGCACGTCGCCAAAGTGCTTGCTCAAGTTGTCGAAGTGGCGCAAGAACGCGTGGCTGGACGCCTCGAAGGAGCGGGTGAGCTTGATGCGCTTGTTGTTCCTGGACAGCATGAGCGAGTTCTTCTCGAGCTCCCAAAAACTGGGCACGTTGCCCCGGATGACCACGTACGAGAAGCTGTACTTCTCCGAGTAGATGATCACCTCGCTCTCGACGAAGTTCGGGACCTCGCCCTCGTCGTCGCAGCCCAGCTCGCCAAAGAGCGCGCCGGACTTCTTGCACGACTGCTTGGAAACCAAAGTCAAGAGCGCGCTTTCGTTGTCTTCGAGGGCCACGTTGACGGACTTGGCATAGCCCCGCGTGACCACCGTGAGGAAGCCCGTGGAGTCGAACTTCATGCGCTCAAACGGGTTGAGCGCGGTGCGCATCTCGACGAGCTCGTCCACCATGTACCTGTTCCAGGCAAAGCGCCGGAAATACGGGTCGTCGGACGAGGCCGTGTGCCGGGGGGCGCCCACGTACCCCCTTTCCTGGAGCGTGCACGACACGTCGAACTCCTTGGAGAAGTAGAAGTGGCCCAGCGAAAGCATGCGCCGCACCGACGCGGCGGGGTACCCGCTCAAAGAGCCCTCGGGCTCCTCGGTGCTGACAGCCTGGAGGTCCTCGTCGTTGGTGCCGATCCACGCGTCGAAACGGTCGCTGTTGAGGCAGTAGAACGCCACGTCGTCGATCATGTGGATGCTCTCGTTCAATTGCGGCGACGCGACCTTGGTGGCCTTGGTGACGAAGCCCAAATGGATGAAGCCCTTGACATTCAAGAGCCCCAAGAACCCATGGAGCAGCTTGCTGGACCGCGCCTTGTGCGGCGTGATGTCGCGGAATTTCGAGAGCCGGAGCGCGTCTGTGCGCAAAAACTCCACCAAAACCTTGTTGCCGGCCTGGTTGCTGTCGGAGTGTTTGGGCCTGTCGTGATGAATATGGTGCACGTGCCGGTGGGACAGCTCCTTGTACTCGGGGTCCGGGTGGCGGATCACAAGTGCATATGACGAGTCGGCCACCACGAACGTCCGGGGGCTTTCGTTGAGGTAGAGTCTCATTTTGGCGGCAAGAAACACGTACGGGGAAGGGATAGAAGACGTATGTGTTTTGTATTAGGGCTGGGGCCGGGGCATGTCCTGCAGGGGCCCTGGGGTGCGGTCTGCGGCTGGCTGCGAAATACATGACAACCGCATGCCATGGCGCGGAGGCTTACTTCCTGGGGCGCCCGAGTCAGACTTGAAAGATTGCATTAGGGCGGGCACCTCCACATTAATGGATCTTCTATTGAATAAAAATAGAGTCTCCTACGAATGGAATCTCCATTGACTTAATGTGGAGTCTCTCAATGACTAAATATGGAGTCTCCATTGAATAAATATGAAGTCCCCATTTAATAAATATGGAGTCTCCATTGACTTAATATGGAGTCTCTCAATGACTGAATATGGAGTCTCCATTGACTTAATATGGAGTCTCATTGACTTAATATGGAGTCTCATTGACTTA